AAAGGTGCACCACCAAATAGGAAAACGCTATAACTACAGTAACCAATCCTACAGGCAGTTACATATAGAAAATATTAACATATATTTTCCGACAAGCAGCAGCGCGTGCGGGTAGGGACGCTCGCAGGCAGGCAGCGTGCGCGCAGGCGGGGGGCTCGCGAGGGTAGGGGCGCTGGCAGGCAGCGCTAGCGGGCAGGCAGCGCTTTCAGGCATGCAGCGCTCGCGGGCAGGTGGCGCTAGCAGGCAGGCAGTGCGCGGGCGACAGGCAGCGTGCGTGCGGGCAGAAGGCGCGCGTGTAGCAGGCAGCGCGCTAGGGGAGGCAGCGTGCGTGGCAGCAGGGCAGCGCGACCCTGTTCGGGCAGGGCAGGGCAGCGCAAGGGCGCTTCGGGCAGGGACAAGCGGAACGCTAGGTGGGCCGTAAAAAGAACCAACTGTGAACCTGCTCTGGAACCATTTTGAGAGTTAATCATGCAAGAATGAGGTTGGACTAGGAACAAGGAGATACAAGTATGAAACCCTAATTGGGGTTGTACCCTATAATGAGCACCTCACTGTAGCCTAGTAGAACTAACAACATATAAATATGTTCTGACAAATGGGTCCAACTTTTTCTATAGATTTTGCCCATTACCGTCTTAGTGTGCATCTAAAGACATGAATGCTGTTCGTTTTGTAAGGTAATCGTTCTGTACACGGAGATGTCTATTGGCACACCTCAGGATCATCAGTGAACAAATCCCTCGGTTTTGGTTTCCTTCATCAGAGGTGATTTGTGTTCCATGGACCTCGCGTATCGAGAATACGAGCAGGCATGGTCTGTGCGAGGCGTGGAACCACATTAGAACGTCGCTCGTCGAGACCACCGGCGCTCGTAGTGGTATTCAGGCCGCAGCATCAGATCAGATTCCAGAGAGGCCAGCATTAGTCCGTATTAGTGACTTACGTCAGTCTGTCCGTACCAACATTCTTGTAGGATACACTATCAGCGAACGCGGCTCGGAAGACTATTCCTAGTCATGGTTGGTTACAGAGACGCGGCGTTTGGCACGTGGATTGTGAACAGAAATGGGTCTGCGACTGGGGTCTTGCAGTCTCCCACGTGGCATTTCAGCAGCTCTGTGGACCTGAAGCCTGAAGATTTCAGCTGGCACGTGGCATGTGCGTAAGCCTCGTCGCGACGACCTTATTTTTTGCTCGCGAAGTTACCGCTTTCTCCTTACGGTTAGCGATCGCCTGCCTCATAACGCGGTACTCTTTAGTTGATTAGTTAGTCATAATGAATGCCAACCAGTGAATTATCTGGCAGCACATCGGCGAAACACGTGGCCGTCACGACTTCCGTCATTTCCTTCAGTCCATGTCAATCTCGACGGACTGACCAACGGAGGAGCTTCTTCGAGCCACTCTTGACCAACTGATACTTGAAAAACTACACTCGTCTCAGCTTACCCCTTCCTTCAAACACCTCTCTGCGACACTTTCTTCAAGCTTCACCTTTGCTGTTGTCTATTTCCACCCGTTTAGCCTATAACCAGCCCCTCCTCCCCACCCTCAGCCGACCTTTTATTTCCCCCTGATTCCACCCTTGCTGTTGTCTTCCCTACCCTCTATCCGTCTTATCTCCCCTCTTTTCGTCTTCACCTCCCCCTTATCCGTCTTCGCTTCCCCTTAACCGTATTCCGTTCCCCCTATCTGTCTTCGCTCCCCCCTATCCGTCTTCCCCTCCCCCCTATCCGTCTATCCTCCTCCCTATCCGTCTATCCCTCCCCCATATCTGTCTTTCCCTCCCTCTATCCGTCTTCCCTATCCGTTCTCCGCTCCCCCCTATCTGTGCTCCCCTCCTCTTTTTCTTCTTCCCCTTCCCCATCCCCTACATACACACATGGCCGACACACACCTCCTCCTCCTCCTCGTGGCCCCTGCCTCCCTCCCCTCACCACTCTCCTTAATCCCACCTGCCCTCCCGGTCCCCTTCCCCTTTTTCTCCTCATCCCATTCCCCCCATTCCTCCAGGGACTCTTTTCCTCAAGCTCTGCGCCTTCGTCTGGGCGCACCTCTCGCCCTACATCACGCCAGCCCTCGAGCCCTTCCTCCCGGCGTGGCAGCAGCAGTGGGCGACAGTGCAAGCCGTGCTCATGGACCCCTGCTCGCAGCACGCCCTGATGGCCGACACACACCTCCTCTTCCTCCTCCTCGTCGCCCTCGCCTCCCTCGTTCGCGCCCTCCAACCCGCCCCCCGCCTCGGCCCCGGCGTCACACCCGAGCAGCTGCAGCAACAGCACTGGCTGCACCACCGGCGCCACGTACGCGTTTTAGAGGGGTCTCTTTACACGGTCACAGTGGTGCTGACCATGCTGGTAGGGCTGGCGAATCTGGTGGTTTCCCTGTGGTATGTCTGGCCGGGGTGGCGGCCGGAATGGTCCGACTGCCCCATATTTGAAGACCTGCTGCCAATCGTGCAGTGTGTGGCGTGGTTCGGCATGTCCTGGTCGGTCATGGAGGAGAAAAGACAAGGTGCCACGTGGCACTTCTTCACTCTCCGCCTCTGGTGGACCTCGGTGTTTGTTCTGAATTCCTGGAGCGTGGTCTACTCACTCGTGCAGATGCACAAGGGAGTGCCGCTCTCAGTAGACGCAGCCCTTGGGATCATCGCCTGGCCCATTTCCGCCTTTCTTTTTGCAGTTGCTTGCCAAAAACCGCCGCCCGTTCACCGCCCGAACGAACCCCTGACTGAATCTCTTCTTTCTGGGCTGCCCGGAGTGGCAGACCAGCCGACTGACCCGGGGGTCACCCCCTGGGAGCGGGCAGGCTGGTGGAACGTTCTCACCTTCCAGTGGATCAACCCGCTGCTCGCCAAGGGGTACCAGAAACCTTTAGACCTGCCCGACATTCCGTTCCTAGCAGACTGGGACACGGCGGATGCTGCCCGAGAAGCTTTCTACCGCACGTGGGATCGAATCCGGCTCTACACTCCGCTCCAACAACCGTCCATCACGTGGACTCTATGGCTCACCTACTGGCGAAAGTTCCTGGCAATTGCGTTCTGGGCAGGGCTGGAGACGCTGCTACTGTACATAGGCCCTTCGCTGCTGGCGGAATTCGTGAGAGTGGTTGGGGGAGACGTGCCTGTGCTGACTTTTGACAGAGGGGGCGCTGCTGATGTTTGTGCTGCTGGGGTTGCTGGTGATGCTGGTGCTGGTGGTGGCAGCTGCAGCAGTAGCTCGGGCAGCTGGCATGTTGATCTGGCTGGGCCGTTAGCAGCTCTGGGAACGAGCCTGACAGGGGCTTTTGGCTTGACGGGATTGTTTGGCTCTGCTGCTTCTGCCACTGCTTCTGCTGCTACCGCCAACCTCACTGCCACTGCCCAAACCATCGCCTCTGCCACCGCTGCTACGGCTGCTGCTGCTGCCTCTTCTGCTGCTGCCTTCGTCACCCAAACAGCAGCAAACGCAGCAGCAGCAGCGACAGACCCTGCAGCCGCAGCAGCAGCAGCAGCAGCATCAGTAGCAGCAGCAGCATCAATAGCAGCAGCAGCACCAGCCCCAAGCCCAGGCGCGCCCCCAGACGACCCATGGGCGCAGTGGGAGGGGTACTGGCTGTGCGGGGTGCTGCTGGGGTGCAAGCTGATAGAGACAGTCGCTCAGCACCAGTTCTACTTCCGCTCGGACATCCTCGGGATGAACGTGCGCGCGGCACTCACAGGCCATGTTTTCGATAAAGCATTGAGGCTGAGCAATGCTGCGCGCCACACACACCCGATGGGCGAGATCGTCAATTACATGGCGCTGGATGTGCAGGTGAGGGGATGGGTCCAGGGTTTGGGGTTTCTGGGTTTTGTGTTTGGGTATAGTTGTGTGCTTGTATGGGGTGCTGCCCGGGATGCTGCTGGGGTGCAAGCTGGTGGAGACGGTGGCTCAGCACCAGTCTTACTTCCGCTCGGACATTCTGGGCATGAATGTCAGAGCGGCGCTCACAGGGACGTGCTTGACAAGGCACTCAGGCTGAGCAATGCTGCGCGGCACACGCACCCCATGGGAGAGATTGTCAAGACGTGCAGGTGAGGGAATGGATGTTAGGTTTTGGGGTTCGGGTTTAGGCGTAGTTGTGTGCTAGCTTGGGGTGTTGCTGGGGTGCAAGCTTGTATAGACAGTAGCACAACACCATTTCTACTTCCGCTCCGATATCCTTGGGATGAATGTCAGGGCGGCACTTACAGGCCACGTGTTTGACAAGGCGCTTAGGCTGAGCAATGCTGCGTGCCACACGCACCCATGGGGGAAATCATCAGCTACATGGCGCTAGACATGCAAGTGACGGGATGGGGTTGGCGGGCTCAGGGTTTCGGGGTTTGGAGGTAGTTGTGTGCTAGCTTGGGGTGCTGCTGGGGTGCAAGCTGGTGTTGTGGCGAGAGACAAGCCCAGTTGTGGCGAGGGACAAGCCTAGTTGTAGCGAGTAGCCACAATTGGGCTTGTCTCTCGCCACAACTGGGCTTGTCTCTCGCCACAGCTGAGCTTGTCTCTCGCCACAGCTGGTGCCATCTTGCTTTTCATGTTGACAATTACAACAAGGTGACTGTAAGGGCTTTTCTTGTTTGCCTGTTGGGAGGCAAGAGGGTACTGGGTGCACCCTCGCACCCGTCCCCATTTCTCTTCTTAACCCCAGCGAGTAGTGGACATGATGTTTCAACTGAACAACCTGTGGACGCCGCCCCTTCAGACCGTGCTCGCGCTGCTGTTGCTGCTGCAGCGTGGGCCCTGCAGGCACGCTGGCAGGCGTGGCAACCATGGTGCTGATGATGTGGGCTCAGATGCTGGTGGCCATGTGGGGGTGGGGTGGAGTGGAGTGGGGTGGGTTGGATGGGTCCAGCTCAAGCACCACGGCAGGCAGACAGGCTGGCGAGAGAGAGAGTTCATTTCATAGTCGGTAAACTCAACCAGTCTCTGCTCTTTTCCTCCCCCACCCACTTTCTCCTACTCTCCCCTCCTCCCCTTTCCCCAGAGAGTAGCAGACATGATGTTTCAGCTGAACAACCTCTGGACGCTGCCTCTGCAAATCCTCCTCGCGCTGCTGCTGCTGCACGCCACTGTGGGCCCCGCAGGCACGCTGGCAGGCGTGGCGACCATGGTGCTGATGATGTGGGCTCAGCTGCTGGTGGCGGGGCAGGCCAGGGAGTGCCAGAAGGAGCGAACCGCCTGGCAGGACTTGAGACTCAAGGCCACCACAGAGGCACTCAACAACATGAAGGTGAGTGTGGGTGGAAAGGGGGCGAGGGTGAGTACAAGAGAGCGGGAGAGAAAGAGTCAGAGAGGAAGAGAGAAAGAGCAGACATGGCTAGGGCGATGGTGCTGATGATGTGGGCGCAGCTGCTGGTGGCGGGGCAGGCGAGGGAGTGCCAGAAGGAACGAACTGGGTGGCAGGATTTGAGACTCAAGGCCACCACAGAGGCACTCAACAACATGAAGGTGTGGTGTGTCACCGAATAGATTGTTGTTTGCAATATATTCTGTTACTCGCTAGTGTAGGTGTAGTAGGGTTAATCGAAGTACTGTAGAAGGTGAGTTTGGTGCGTGGGTAGTGACGCGAAGTGGTGACCAAGGGACTTGCGAGGCGCAGGGTGGGACAAATTCAAGGGCGAGCCCTGGGCAATCCGAAGGGCCAATCTGAAGCCTAGCGGGCGGAGCCCAATGTGACTTACGGGAAACTGCACGGCACGGGGTAGAGACGCAAATAGGCTAGGAACTCACTGCTTGGCCCGTGACGTAGGGCCGAGGAGGATGGGGATGACCCTACGTCACTGTTCCTGGAGCGGCTGCGCAAGCAATTCCCAGGACATACGGCAGAGCGAATTAGGGAGCTTCAGGACTTCAAACGCAGGGAGGACGAGTCGCTGCTGACGTATTATGGGCGGCTCATGAACCTGGCCGAGGATGTGGTATGTACCGACAGCAGCATGCTGATCAGTAAGTTCCTGGCAGGATTGGACGATGGGCTGGCCGGAGGACTGAAAATGAGAGTCTACGAGCTGGGGGCAGAAGCAACCCTGGAGGAAGTGTTTGAGCTAACAGAAAAGGTGGAGTTGGCACAGAGGCGTTATGAGGCATACCTGCCAAGGGCGGCAGAGAAGATGCGACCCACCTGGGCGGCAGCAATGACACCAGGGGCGGGAGGCAGAGAGGAGCAGCAACATGAGAGAAGGACAGCCATGAGAACCTGCTACAGGTGTGGACAGCCGGGACATGTGAAGTTGAATTGCAAGAACTGCGACGTGTGTGGGAAACCAGGGCACCGCCGTCAGAACTGCCCTGACGCGCCAACCTGTGGGGTGTGTGGAAAGAGGGGGCATCAGCAGAAAGACTGTTATCAGAGGATTGGGGGAGCGAGGAGGTCACAAGAGGAGATAGAAACTCAGATACGAAGGCTGCGGGCTCAGATGCAGACTTTAGGAGGCAAGACAGAGGAAGAAGCAGGACTGTACGCGAGGGAAGAGGAAGAGGAGGAAGAAGAGCAGGAGCCAGAGTACTCCTGTGCGGTGCTGCATCGCCATGAAGATATGGGGTGGCGCAGTGGGGGCAGGGACGGTAGAAGGAAGCAAGTGAGTAGGGTGGGGGCATGGGTGTGTGTGCAAGTAGCACCAGATTTGGTAGGGAAGAACGAGAAGGTGGGGGCATTGGCGGATGAACCAGAAGCGGCAGGCACGGAAGGGAAGGACGAGGAGGTGGGAGCAAGGGCAGCAGCAGAAGGGGAAGAGAAGGACGAGAAGAAGGGGGCAGGGGCGTGTGGACTGGTAGCAGCCGGCGCGGAAGGGAAGAACGAGCAGGTGGGGGCGGGAGCGTGTGTAACAGCAGCAGCGAAGGTAGAGAAAAAGGAAGTGCAGGTGGGGGTGGGAGCGTATGTAACAGCATCAGCGAAGGTAGAGAAAAAGGAAGTGCAGGTGGGGGCGGGAGCGTATGTAACAGCAGCAGCGAAGGTAGAGAAAAAGGAAGTGCAGGTGGGGGCGGGAGCGTGTGTAACAGCAGCAGCGAAGGCAGAGAAAAAGGAAGTGCAGGTGGGGGCGGGAGCGTGTGTAACAGCAGCAGCGAAGGTAGAGAAAAAGGAAGTGCAGGGAAGTAGGATGGCGAAGCAGCATGTGCGGAAGCTGAGGAAAGAACCTCCACAGATGCTGGGGGCGAAAATGGTGAAAGAAGCCGTGAGAGGAGCTGAGACAGGTGTGAGCAGCATGAAAGTGGAGATGGTGTGCGACTGGGGGCAAGGAGACCTACGGGTAGGAGGATGGGAAGGTCCAGTGTGGGCCAAAGCTCAGGAGCGGGAGGAAGCAGAGAGGGAGAACAAGGAGGTGGGGACATGGGAGTGCCTGCCTGCAGGGGAAGAAGTAGGGCACACAACGGGAGATGCGATGAGTCCGGAAGGAAAAGAGGCCGTGAAGACAGTAAGGTGGAGTAAGCGAGGAATATGGGAAGCTGAGGCGATGCAGCCAGCAACACAGGTGCTGCCAGGACCAGCGGGAATGAAAGGGGCTGAGAACTGGGTGGCATGGGAGGGAGCCAAGGCAGTAGAATACCTGGACGAGGAGAAAACAGCAGCGGCGGAGGTCATGCGTACAATAGAGTTGCGAAATGCACACGTACAGGCACAAGCAGAGACTGCAGCAGGGCGACAAAAACGACAGCTACGCCAGCGGAAGCGAGACAGGAAGCCTACCTGCAGAGGGGGATACTCGGAAAGTGGTACCGGACACACAGCGAAGGGAGACGAAGGACCTGAGGCGTCCAAGAGTGCTGGTGCTGAGGAATCAGAGAAGAGAGTAGACAGGGTACCATATGACGAATGCTGCAGTGGTGAAAAGCCACCGGCCTCAGCGAGAGTGTCCAGTGACACGTGCACGGGAGACCCGAGCACGAGCTCTGGAGGGGGCAGGTAGTGGCTGAGGCAGAGCAGGTAAGGTATCACAGGAACAGAGCTCAGAAGAAGAAGGAGCGAGGGTGAGTCCGGGAAGGAGAAGGCAAGCCACGGGAAGCAACAGAGGATGAATCTCCGACAGGTGCGGAAAATAGTGGGTAGAGAGTGGATAGACGAGAGAGAGAGGAGAGGGGTTGGCTGATGATTGTGGACGAAGAGAGTGGTTATAGGAGGGGCAGAACATGATCTTGCTCGTGACAAACGTCCAGGTTGGAAGTCGCCCACCTCCCCCTCCTCACTCCCCACCCCCCCCACACATGCACGTGGGAAGGGCGGGTAAAACTGGGCTGAGGAAGCTGCATCTTCTCTTGAGGCGCCTCTAAAGTCGCCTCAAGAGGCGCCTCAAAATGCATCTCTCCGCCTTTCCCCTCCACACACCTCTCCCACCCCCTTCTTCCTTCTCAGGTTATAAAGCTGCACGCGTGGGAGGGGCGGTTCTTGGAACAGATAAAGGATTATCGGGCGAAGGAGGTCGCATGCCTGCATGCTGAGGTTCCTTTATCGAACCTCACCCCCCACACCCCCTTTCCCCCACTCCTCTCCCCCTTTCCGCCCTGCCACCCCCCGCAGTTGATAAACCTGCATGCGTGGGAGGGGTGGTTCCTGGAGCAGATAGAGGACTATCGGGCGGAGGAGGCGGCATGGCTGAATGTTGAGGTTCGTTTATCCAACCTCATCCCCCACACCTCCTTCCCCCACTCCCCCCTTCCCCCCCACCCCATCAGGTGATAAAGCTGCACGCGTGGGAGGGGCGGTTCTTGGAGCAGATAGAGGACTATCGGGCGGAGGAGGCGGCATGGCTGGCGCGCTACAACTACCTCATGGCGGCCAACATCGTCTTCCTCTGGATGTCGCCTCTCCTCGTCGCCTCCGCCACCTTCGCTGCCTGCGTGGCCTTCGAGGAGCCTCTTTCCGCTGCCTCCATTTTCACTGCCATTGCCACCTTCCGGATCCTCCAGGTGGGTGGGATACGGATGCTCTCTCATGTCATTCCGCCCATGCTCAGCGTGCCATGGCCTAGGTAGGCCCTGCCCTATGCCCTAGGACCTAGGTGTGCGCAGCCTGGCATGGCTAGCGCGCTACAACTACCTCATGGCGGCCAACATCGTCTTCCTCTGGATGTCTCCTCTCCTCGTCGCCTCCGCCACATTCGCTGCGTGCGTGGCCTTCGAAGAACCCCTCTCTGCTGCCTCAATCTTCACTGCCATCGCCACCTTCCGGATCCTCCAGGTGGGTGGGAATCTGATGCTTTCTCATGTGATTTCGCCCTTGCTGAGCATGCCATAACCCAGGTAGGCTCTAGGCTCTCTCTAGGGGAGTGCAGCCTGCATGCATGGCTGGCGCGCGGCAACCACCTCATGGCGGCCAACATCGTGCTCCTCTGGATGTCGGGGAGGGAGGGAGGTCTCTCTATGAGGAAGGTGGCCTTTAGGAGAGCAGCGTCAGACAGTGGGGTGCCTAGGTTCCTATCTTTGTCCCTGTTGTCTGCCGCTGCTCTCTGTTCGCACTTATTTTCTGCGTAGCTCTTCCCTTTCACACCTTATCCTGTATTCCACCTTCCCTTCCATTCCACTGCCTGCTATCTACTTCATCTCATGCTCCCACACTCATCTCCTCCCACTCCCGTCCGTGCTCCTGCCTCCCTTCCTTTCCCCGCTATTTTCCACCCCTCTGCCTCACAGGAGCCCCTCCGCTCGTTCCCAGATGTTCTCTCCTCCATCTCTCAAGCACTCGTGTCTCTTGACCGCCTCGCCAGGTAAGGCTGTGCCTCCAGACTGCTTAATTTCCTGCTCGCTGGGTATGGGGCGAGCTGTCTTACAGTTGCGAACCCCAGGTATTCGCAATGGTGGCATTGCTACACATCTGTTCTCCAGAAGACTGCCAGAATGTTCCTCAGCAGGGCTGTTCCTCAGCAGGGCTGTTCCTCAGCAGGGCTGTTCCTCAGCAGGGCTGTTCCTCAGCAGGGCTGTTCCTCTGCTGGGCTGTTCCTCTGCTGGGCTGTTCCTCTGCTGGGCTGTTCCTCTGCTGGGCTGTTCCTCTGCTGGGCTGCTCCTTGCTCCATGCTCCCTGAACCCTCCCCCTCCATATCGCCCTCTCCATTCCCCATTCCCATTCCTATTCATCCAGGTACCAGTCAGCGCAGGAGATCGAGGTCACAGCAGTCTCATGGCTCTCCCCGGAAGACACAGAGGACGCTGTCTTTGTCGACGGGGGCACCTTCACTTCACCTAAGATCTGCCCCCCTCCGCACCCGCAGCACATGCACCTGCCCCATCCCGACCCCCATCCCCCTCCCTTTCTGCTTCCTCACACCGACGCCCTTGTCCTTGCAGGTACCAGTCAGCGCAGGAGATCGAGGTGACAGCAGTCTCATGGCTCTCTCCCGACGACACAGAGGACGCTGTTTTCGTCGACGGGGGCGCCTTCACCTGGGACCTGCCGCCCCCGCACCTGCAGCACATGCACCGCCCCAACCACATACCCTTCCTCGTGCCGCTTCCCATCCCTGCCCCCATTTCTCTCCCCACGGCAGGTACCAGTCAGCGCAGGAGATCGAGGTGACAGCAGTCTCATGGCTCTCCCCGGAAGACACAGAGGACGCAGTTTTCGTCGACGGGGGCACCTTCACATGGGACCTGCCGCCTCCGCACCTGCAGCACATGCACCGCCCCACACTGCGGGGCATTGGCATGCAGATTGGTCGGGGAGCGAGAGTTGCTATCTGTGGGCCCGTTGGGTCGGGCAAGTCGAGTCTGCTCAGCTGCATCCTGGGGGAGATGCACAAGCTTTCCGGGATTGTGAGTGTCCCTTGGGAAGGGGGGCATCGGCATGCAGATCGGCAGGGGGGCGAGAGTGGCTATCTGTGGGCCGGTGGGGTCGGGCAAGTCGAGCCTGCTGAGCTGCATCCTGGGGGAGATGCACAAGCTGTCCGGCATTGTGAGTAGAGTAGAGTCTGCGATCAGGATCTGGGGGGGTATGACTAAGGGTGGCTATCTGTGGGCCTGTTGGGTCGGGCAAGTCGAGCCTGCTGAGCTGCATCCTGGGGGAGATGCACAAGCTGTCGGGCATTGTGAGTCGAGTATGCGATTGGGATCGTGAATATGAAATGAACCACCATGCACAACAACTCCACCATCTTTCGCCTCTAGATGAGACACAGGTCCCCTCCAGAGTCTCTTCCTCACTTGGCTTTGGAACTCCAATAAAGGGACTCCCCTTGACGTCCTTATTCCCTCTCTCCCTCACCCCTCGCTCTCCCTCATGCCCTTGCCCTCCCTGTCCTTCTTCCTCTCACCCCCTCGACCCGTCAATTCCTCACTCCATAACTCTCTCACCCCGTCATCCCCGCCCCCACCCGTGCTCTGCAGGTGCAAGTGGCGGGCACCATAGCACACGTGCCGCAGACCCCCTGGATTCAGAACGGCACCATCCGGGACGTCACCTTCGGCCTGAAGATGAACCTCCAAGCAACTCAAAAGTCTCCCTCTCACTCTCTCACACCTTCACTCCTTCACCCCCTCACTCCCTCACTCATTCAATTTCTCAACCCCTCACTCCCTCCCGGCCTCTTTCCGGCAGGTGCAAGTTGCGGGCACCATAGCACACGTGCCACAGACCCCTTGGATTCAGAATGGCACCATCCGGGACAACGTCACCTTCGGCCTGCAGATGAACCGCGCCCTCTATGAGCGCGTGCTGCGCGTCTGCGCCCTCGCTGCTGACCTGGCAGGTGCGTCAGTGCCCTCACTGCTGACCTGGCGGGTGCGTCAGTGCCCTCACTGCTGACCTGGCAGTTGTGTGAACGCCCCCTCACTGATGACTTTATTTCCAGGTCAGAATGCGTGTTTTTTTCTGAGCTGCACCCAAGTTTCATGCACAATTGGTGCTCATTTTCACAACCCACCTGGGATCCCCACCTCTGTGCTGGCATCTGACGTGGCAGTGCTGCCACGTGGCGACGAGACGGAGATCGGGGAGCGGGGGATCAACCTATCGGGCGGGCAGAAGCAGCGCATACAGGTGGCGAGGGCCGTGTACCACGACGCTGACATCTATCTGCTCGACGACCCCTTCTCCAGTGTTGACACTGCAACCGGCTCCTTGATATTTGATGTGAGTGAGTTCTCACAGTCTTCCATCATCTCATCTCATACAGTCCATTACAGTGTATTACAGTTAAGGTGAGCGTGCCCGTTAAGGTGCATTGCAGAAGCAGCGCATCCAGGTGGCGAGGGCCGTGTTTCATGGTAGTATTGGCGAGGGGAGTGGGGGATCAACCTGTCAGGTGGCGAGGGCCGTGTACCACGATGCTGACATCTACCTCCTCGACGACCGCTTCTCCAGCGTTAACACCGCCGCTGGTTCATGATCTTTGATGTGAGCTAGTTCATGATCTTTGATGTGAGCTGGTTCATGATCTTTGATGTGAGCTGGTTCATGATCTTTGATGTGAGCTGGTTCATGATCTTTGATGTGAGCTGGTTCATGATCTTTGATGTGAGCTGGTTCATGATCTTTGATGTGAGCTGGTTCATGATCTTTGATGTGAGCTGGTTCATGATCTTTGATGTGAGCTGGTTCATGATCTTTGATGTGAGCTGGTTCATGATCTTTGATGTGAGCTGGTTCATGATCTTTGATGTGAGCTGGTTCATGATCTTTGATGTGAGCTGGTTCATGATCTTTGATGTGAGCTGGTTCATGATCTTTGATGTGAGCTGGTTCATGATCTTTGATGTGAGCTGGTTCATGATCTTTGATGTGAGCTGGTTCATGATCTTTGATGTGAGCTGGTTCATGATCTTTGATGTGAGCTGGTTCATGATCTTTGATGTGAGCTGGTTCATGATCTTTGATGTGAGCTGGTTCATGATCTTTGATGTGAGCCCTTTGGTTTTAGCTCGGTGCCATCAATGCATGCTTGGGGCTCGTCTGTGTGCCTTGATGGCACCGAGCGTGTCCACTGCCTCCACCACCAGGAGCGGTCCACTGCCTCCACCACCAGGAGCGGTCCACTGCCTCCACCACCAGGAGCGGTCCACTGCCTCCACCACCAGGAGCGGTCCACTGCCTCCACCACCAGGAGCGGTCCACTGCCTCCACCACCAGGAGCGGTCCACTGCCTCCACCACCAGGAGCGGTCCACTGCCTCCACCACCAGGAGCGGTCCACTGCCTCCACCACCAGGAGCGGTCCACTGCCTCCACCACCAGGAGCGGTCCACTGCCTCCACCACCAGGAGCGGTCCACTGCCTCCACCACCAGGAGCGGTCCACTGCCTCCACCACCAGGAGCGGTCCACTGCCTCCACCACCAGGAGCGGTCCACTGCCTCCACCACCAGGAGCGGTCCACTGCCTCCACCACCAGGAGCGGTCCACTGCCTCCACCACCAGGAGCGGTCCACTGCCTCCACCACCAGGAGCGGTCCACTGCCTCCACCACCAGGAGCGGTCCACTGCCTCCACCACCAGGAGCGGTCCACTGCCTCCACCACCAGGAGCGGTCCACTGCCTCCACCACCAGGAGCGGTCCACTGCCTCCACCACCAGGAGCGGTCCACTGCCTCCACCACCAGGAGCGGTCCACTGCCTCCACCACCAGGAGCGGTCCACTGCCTCCACCACCAGGAACGGTCCACTGCCTCCACCACCAGGAACGGTCCACTGCCTCCACCACCAGGAGCGTGTGCCAGTCCTGGTGGGTAGCCTGACAATCAATTGGAGTTTGAATCAAACCCACTTACCACTCTCTCTCCCTGTTCCTTCTCCTCACCTGTGTCCACTATTCCCCACTACCAGGAGTGTGTGTTGGGTCTGCTGGGGGCAAAGACGGTTCTCTTCGTGACTAATCAGCTTGAGTTCCTGCCCGCTGCTGACCTCATCCTGGTGCGTGCTGATGTCATGCTGGTGTGTGATGATGTCATGCTGGTGTGTGATGATGTCACCGTGCTGGCAGGGAACATTTGTGGTGGTATTCTCACGTTTATGCTTCACTTCACTTCCTTTTATCTCGGACCCTATCCACCCTCGCTTGGTGCACTCACCACAATCCACTGCATGTGCCCACACTTCCTCTTCCTCCCTCCCACCAGGTGATGCGCGATGGGGAGATAGTGCAGGCAGGGCAGTACGAGGAGCTACTGCGGGCGGGCACAGGCTTCTCCCTCCTGCTCGACTCTTGCATACTCCCGAACCCTCGCCCTCTCCCCGCTACCTCCCCCAACCCCCACCAGGTGATGCGCGATGGGGAGATAGTGCAGGCAGGGCAGTACAAGGAGCTACTGCGGGCGGGCACAGACTTCTCCCTCCTGCTGCAATCCCCCCCCCCCACCCTCTCACCATCCCCCACACCCACCCGCCCCCATTCTCCCCCACAGGTGATGCGGGACGGGGAGATAGTCCAGGCGGGGCAGTATGAGGAGCTGCAGCGGGCCGGCACAGACTTCTCCCTCCTGCTGGACGCCCACAACAACGCCATGGGCTCCATGGACCTCCCCCCTTCCAACCCTTTCCAACCCTCCCATACCTCCCACCACCACCTGCAACCGCAACGCGCCCCTTCCCTTGGGAACATCCTGGCTGCCAACGGTGACGTGTTCTCGCGGTTTGACATGGACGATCAAGAGCTGGCAACACTGCTGCTGGGTCCCCAGGCCGGGCCTGACGGGCTCGGGCTAGTCTCGGGCGGAGGCTCGGGAGGGATGGGAGGCCCAGGGATGGGTGCGGGAGATGGTTTGGGTGGTAGGGCGAGTGGGGTTGCTGCGGATGGGTCGCTGGTGGGGGTGGTGGGTGGGGCGGGAGGGGTGGTGGTGGGACCGATGGCAGCGGTGGCAGCGGCGGTGGCGAGTGGAGCGGAGGACCGGCAGTTTGGGCGGGTGAATGCGGAGGTGTACCGGGCGTATCTCACGCGGGCGTATGGTGGATCCATGGTTCCCATCATTGTGGCTTCGCAGGTGAGTGACTCGAGGGGGGGGGGGGAAGAGCTGACTCAAGGGGCACCACAGGGGTGAATGAGGAGCGGAGGACCGGCAGTTTGGGCGGGTGAATGCGGAGGTGTATCGGGCTTATCTTACACGGGCGTATGGCGGATCCATGGTGCCCATCATTGTTGCTTCGCAGGTAGGTAGGAATCAGGGGGTGCTTGCCGAGAGGGAAGGGAAGGTAGGGGGAGTTAACTCCAGTGGTGCCAAGGGGTGAAGGGGGGGCAGGTTGCTTGGTTAGGCAGGTGAATGCGGAGGTGTACCGGGCTTATCTCACGCGGGCGTATGGCGGATCCATGGTGCCCATCATTGTTGCTTCGCAGGTGAGTAACTCGGGGGGTGGTTAAAGCTGACTCAAGGGCCGCTGCAGGGGCGAATGAGCGGCAGAGGGCAGGCAGTTTGGGCGGGTAGATGGGCCGGGCGTATCTCCCGTGGGTGTATGGCGGATTCATGGTGCCTATGATTCTGGCTTCCCAGGTAGGAGTCAGGGAGTGCTCGCAGGGAGAAGAGGAGAGGCAGCAGGAGTTAACTCAAGTGGGCCCACAGGGGTGACTGGGGAGCAGGGGGCAGGGCAGGTTAGGTTGCTAGCCTAGCCTGGGCGCGTGAATGCGGAGGTGTATCGGGCTTATCTCACACGGGCTTATGGCGGATCCATGGTGCCCATTGTGGCATCGCAGGTGAGTGTACGGAGGGAGGGAGGGGAGATGAGAGTGGGCTTAGCTCAAGAGACACCTCTTTTGAGGCGCCTCATAATATTTTTGAGGCGATTTTTTAGGCGTCTCAATAAATGAGAGTTGGCTTAGCTCAAGTGACACCTCAGAAGCTCTTTGCTGCTGCTCGCACAAGCATCCGCAAAGTTGTTGTCTCCATTCCTTCTACCCGCCCATCATCCCCCCCTTCCCTCCTCCTCCTCCCTACCTCTCTCAGGTGCTTTTTCAGGTGCTTCAGATGGGCGCCAACTGGTGGCTAGCTCGGGAAGTCCAACCCCTGCATCCAGCAGTGCTCACCTGGCCGGACGTCCGTGCCTACGCCTCGCTCGGCATCGGCAGCGGCCCCTTCGTTGTCCTCCGCGCCTTCCCGTTTGCGTATGCAGCACTGTCATCTCCTTTCATTCCTCCCTCCCTCCCCTCTCTTCCTCCCCCTCCTCCCCCCTCCCCCAATTCCCCCCCCCTGCCTCCCACCTACCCCTCTCAGGTGCTTTTCCAGGTGCTTCAGATAGGCGCCAACTGGTGGCTAGCCCGAGAGGTCCAACCCCTGCATCCAGCAGTGCTCACCTGGCCGGACGTCCGTGCCTACGCCTCTCTCGCCATTGGCAGCGGCCTCTTCGTCGTCCTCCGTGCCTTCCTGTCGGTCCATGTGGGGCTGAGAACGGCTGATGGGTTCTTTCAGGACATGCTGCACGCTGTGTTCCACGCCCCCATGGCCTTCTTTGACTCCACCCCCACGGGAAGAACCCTTGCTAGGGTAAGTGCTTGAGTCCTGGAGGCACGCTGTGAGTATAGCAGTCATACAGTCCAAAGCCGCCTCCTCTCCGTGCATGTGGGGCTGAGAACAGCGCCTTTTGAGTCGACTCAAAAGTCCTCTCCGTGCATGTGGGGCTGAGAACAGCGCCAGGGTTCTTTCAGGACATGCTGCACGTTTTCTTCCGCGCTCCCATGGCCTTCTTCGATTCCACCCCACTGGGCGAACGCTTGCGAGGGTGAGTTCTGGAGTCCTTTCAGGCATCAGCGAATCAGAACGCCCTGGCTGGACTTGCAGCTGTTCGTACTCCACTCCACTCTCACTCCGCCTACCCATCCTTTCTCTATTTTCTGTTCCCCCCTTCTCCTTCCGCCGCCATCAGGCCTCAGCCGACTCAGAACGCGTTGGGCTTGCAGCTCTTCTTCAACTCCTTTGTATTTCTCTTCATCCCTCTCCACTCCTTCCTCACCACCTGCCAGGCATCAGCGGACCAGAACGCGCTGGACTTGCAGCTCTTCTTCAACTTTGTTGTATCTCTCTCCATCCCTCCCCGTCACTCTCCCCTTCCTATCAGGCATCAGCGGATCAGAACGCCCTCGACTTGCAGCTCTTCTTCAACTTTGGCTCCGTGCTCAACAACCTCGTGCAGCTTCTGGGAATCTTCCTCGTCACCTCTGCCGTCACGTGGCCGGTCATCGTCGTCCTCATCCCCCTCGCGCTGCTCTATGTGCCTCTGCAGGTGGGGTAGGGTCTATGTGCCTCTGCAGGTGGGGTAGGGTCTATGTGCCTCTGCAGGTGGGGTAGGGTCTACGTGCCTCTGCAGGTGGGGTAGGGTCTATGTGCCTCTGCAGGTGGGGTAGGGTCTATGTGCCTCTGCAGGTGGGGTAGGGTCTATGTGCCTCTGCAGGTGGGGTAGGGTCTATGTGCCTCTGCAGGTGGGGTAGGGTCTACGTGCCTCTGCAGGTGGGGTAGGGTCTATGTGCCTCTGCAGGTGGGGTAGGGTCTATGTGCCTCTGCAGGTGGGGTAGGGTCTACGTGCCTCTGCAGGTGGGGTAGGGTTGGTTGTGGTGCCCATGCACTCGTAGCGCGCACACAAGTGGTTATTTGCAGGGTCCATCCATCTATGTGCCGCTGCAGGTGTGAGGTAAAGGCACTGATCCAGGTGAACTGTTAATGAGGTACCTATTCGTGTGTTTTTGCTGACATACTGGCAGCATGCAGCGTGCTGTTGTTGCCATCTCTTTTATTCTCTTCTTACCTGCCACTGCCTTTGTTTAGGCGCCTCAAAAGTAATATCGTATTGCATGCCACAGCAACTAAATTATTCTCATAACCCTTAGCCATACTCCTACCTAGGGGCATGAGCAAAGAACCGAACCGTACCGAACCAAACCGAATCGGTTTCTGTGTTCTCAAACCAGAACCGGTTCGGGTCGAACTGGCTTGTGAGCATGGTGGTTCTTTGTTCAACCCTTATGGGTAAAATTGTACCAGTTTGAGCTAAGCCGTCGGTTTGAGCATAGCTAGCCCGCAGCCACGGCAAATCGCCCATCCTTCTCATATGTGCCCCCGACTTTCCTCCCTTTCTCCGTCCCTTTGTCTTTCCTCCCCCTCCTCCTCACCAGCGCTACTACCTCTCCTCATCAAGAGAGCTCACCCGAATCGACGGGCTGACCAATTCGCCCATCCTCGCGCATTTCTCCGAGACGCTCGCCGGGGCGGCAGTGATCCGCGCATTCGCCCAGGAGGAGCGGTTTGAGATAGAGACCAGCCTATTGCTCCGTCCATCTTGCCTCCCTTACCCCCTCTTTTTTTCCTCACTTCTGCATTCCTTCCCACACCACACCCACCCACCCTCCCTTCTCACCCATCCCCTGCCAGCGCTACTACCTCTCCTCATCACGAGAACTCACTCGAATTGACGGGCTGACCAAGTCGCCCATCCTCGCGCATTTCTCCGAGACGCTCGCCGGGGCGGCAGTGATCCGCGCATTCGCCCAGGAGGAGCGGTTTGAGATAGAGACCAGCCTATTCCTCCGTCCATCCTGCCTCTCTTACCCCCTCTTTTTTTCCTCACTTCTGCATTCCTTCCCACACCACACCCATCCACCCTCCCTTATCACCCATCCCCTGCCAGCGCTACTACCTCTCCTCATCACGAGAGCTCACTCGAATCGACGGCCTGACCAAGTCGCCCATCCTCGCGCATTTCTCCGAGACGCTCGCCGGGGCGGCGGTGATCCGTGCGTTCGCCCAGGAGGAGCGGTTTGAGATAGAAAATGCGGATGCGGTGGACAACAACATGCGCGCCTACTTCCACTACTATGGCGCCATCTATTGGCTGGGGCTGCGATTGGAGACGATTTCAGCTGTTGTCCTTGCCTTCGTTGCATTCCTGCTGGTGCTCGTGCCTCAAGGCACCATTGAACCAGGTAGGGGCTTTTGTTTCTGGGTTCAAACCGGAGGAGTGATGGGTGCAGTGCGGTGAGCGGTTTGAGATAGAGAACGTGGATGTGGTGGACAACAACATGTGTGCCTACTTCCACTACTATGGCGCCATCTACTGGCTGGGGCTGCGACTGGAGACGATTTCTGCTGTGATGCTCGCGTTCGTGGCGTTTCTCCTGGTGCTTGTGCCACAGGGAACCATCGAACCCGGTACGCACCATCTTTTAGTAATTTTGTTACAAAAGGCAGCTGGAAGAGTGAGGAGAGACGAGTGTGCAGGGAGCGGTTTGAGATAGAGAACGCAGATGCTGTAGACAACAACATGTGAGCCTACTTCCACTACTATGGCGCCATCTACTGGCTGGGCCTGCGATTGGAGACAACTTCTGCTGTGGTGCCCGCGTTTGTTGCGTTCCTGCTGGTGCTCGTGCCTCAAGGCATCATTGAACCAGGTAGGTGCTTGTTCCTGGGTTTGATTCGAACCGGAGGAGTGATGGGTGCAGTGCGGTGAGCGGTTTGAGATAGAGAACTCGGGCGCTGTGGACAACAACATGCGCGCCTACTTCCACCACTATGGCACCATCTGTGCCGTAGATAGATGACATGACGATCAACATTATCACTCCCCTTTTGAGGCGCCTCAAAAGACAACGTGCGCGCCTACTTCCACCACTATATGGCGCCATCTGTGCCGTAGATAGATGACATGACGATCAACATTATCACTCCCCTCCTTTATGTTCGTTCTGTGCCTTCCACCAGGCTTAACAGGGGCGGGCGGGGCGTCCCCCCTACGGCCTGACACTCAACATGGCACTGGTGATGACCATGTGGCATCTCCCAATCAACGAGAACCATGAGCTCACATCTTCTCCCACCTACCCCTCCTTCTTCGCCCTGTTCTTTCTGTGCCTTCCACCAGGCTTAACAGGGGCGGGCGGGGCGTCCCCCCTACGGCCTGACACTCAACATGGCACTGGTGATGACCATGTGGCATCTCCCAATCAACGAGAACCATGAGCTCACATCTTCTCCCACCTACCCCTCCTTCTTCGCCCTGTTCTTTCTGTGCCTTCCACCAGGCTTAACAGGGGCGGGCGGGGCGTCCCCCCTACGGCCTGACACTCAACATGGCACTGGTGATGACCATGTGGCATCTCCCAATCAACGAGAACCATGAGCTCACATCTTCTCCCACCTACCCCTCCTTCTTCGCCCTGCTCTTTCTGTGCCTTCCACCAGGCTTAACAGGGGCGGGCGGGGCGTCTCCCCTACGGCCTGACACTCAACATGGCACTGGTGATGACCATGTGGCATCTCCCAATCAACGAGAACCATGAGCTCACATCTTCTCCCACCTACCCCTCCTTCTTCGCCCTGTTCTTTCTGTGCCTTTCACCAGGCCTAGCAGGCGTCTCTCTGGCCTACGGTCTAACCCTCAACATGGCGCTAGTCATGACAATGTGGCATCTCTCCAACCTTGAGAACAAGCTGGTGGCAGTGGACCGCATCCGCCATTTCTCCGCCATCCCCTCTGAGGCGCCCTTGATTGTCGAAGGCAACCGGCCCTCTGCTGACTGGCCCAACCGCGGCTCCATCAGCTTTGAGAACCTGCAGGTGAGCCAGGTTGCCCAGCCCACTGCTTCTCAGCTTGTCGCTGTGTGGCTGCTTTTGGGGCGATTTAAAAGCCCAAATGTGGAAGAAATCTGTTGTCTCCAACCTTGAGAACAAGCTGGTAGCAGTGGATCGAATCCGCCATTTCTCCGCCATCCCCTCTGAGGTTCCCTTGATCGTCAAAGGCAACCGGCCTTCCGCCAACTGGCCCATCAGCTTTGAAAACCTCCAGGTGAGCCCAGCCCACTGCTACCCAGCCTTGAAAACACGACTACAGCTTGTAGTGGAGAGCTGCAGAGTAGCTGACTGGGCCTGTCGAGGTTCCATCAGCTTCGAGAACCTTTGGTTGAGCCCCCTGCTGATTTTTGAGTCAACTACAAAAACTGAGTTTTGAGTCGAGTTTTGAGACGACTCAAAACTCGACTCACTACACGAGAACCTTTGGTTGAGCCCCCTGCTGATTTTTGAGTCAACTACAAAAACCTCCAGGTGAATCCTCCGATAATTTTTAAGGTGGGGTCTTGAAGAAATTTAAAAGAACCTCCAGGTGGCTACATGGAGATCTCTTAAGACCTTTGCAACTATCCTATGCTTCTCGCCCCTTCCTTGTTTCCATCTCTCTATTTTCACACAGATGCGCTACAGGGAAGCCATGCCACTGGTACTGAAAGGCGTGACAGTAACCTTCAGAGGTGGTGAGAAGGTGGGAGTGGCTGGCCGCACAGGCAACTCAAACTCTCTCAACCCTTTTCTTTTTCCCAACTCTTTTCATCGCCACATTATACCCAGATGCGTTACAGAGAAGCAATGCCGCTCGTCCTAAAGGGTGTGACAGTGACATTCAGAGGCGGGGAGAAGGTGGGAGTGGTCGGCCGCACGGGCAGCGGCAAATCCACCCTCGTCGTCGCTCTCTTCCGATTGGTCGAGCCGGTGGGCGGCCGAGTCATGATCGACGGCGTGGACATCTCGACCATCGGATTGCAAGATCTACGGTCCAGATTGGCCATCATCCCACAGGATCCGACCCTGTTCGAAGGCACGGTTCGGTCGAACCTGGACCCTCTGGGTCGGTACCATTCCAGTTTGCTCTGGGAGGTGCTCGAGAAGTGCCAGCTGGCAGAGGCGGTAATGGACAAAGAGGACAAGCTGGACGCCATTGGTGAGTCTTGTCGTTTCCTCACTCTCCTACTCACCTGCCCCATATATTTCGTGGCGCCTAAGGAATCATCTCATCACACCTGGGAGGTGCTGGAGAAGTGCCAGCTGTCTTTCTTTTTGGGCACTTCAAAAAGAGAAGTGCCAGCTGTCTTTCTTTTTGGGCACTTCAAAAAGAGAAGTGCCAGCTGGCAGAGGCAGCTCTTTAAGTAGCCCTAACACGTGCCTAACTCTCATTCCCAGAATGATTTTATCTTCTTGCAGTGGTGGAGGGTGGAGAGAACTGGAGTGTGGGGCAGAGGCAGCTCTTCTGCCTCGCCAGAGCTCTGCTCAAGCGCTCGCGAATCCTGGTGCTGGATGAAGCAACTGCGTCCGTTGATTCGGCCACCGACGCCATCATCCAACGGACCATAAAGGAGAACTTCGCCCGGGCGACGGTGATCACTGTAGCGCACCGCATCCCCTCTGTGATCGACTCCGATAAAGTGCTCGTGCTGGAAGCAGGTGAGTCGGGGGCGTGTGTGTGCTCGGGGGGGGGGGGGGGGGGGGGGGGTTCTGTTTTGAAGGTACATTGTAGCGCACCGCATCCGCTCTGTGATCGACTCCGATAAAGTGCTTGTGCTGGAAGCAGGTGAGTGGCGGGCGTGTGTGCATGTGTGTGTGGGGAAAGGAGGGAGGTGCGCTTATGTGAGGCACATCAACGCACGATATCTGTAGTGCACTGCACATATAATATTTGATCGATTTCCGTGAAGTGGTTGTGCTGGAAGCAGGTGAGGTGGGCTGTGTGTGCATATGTGTGTGTGGGGGTACTTTTGTGTAGGAGGCACCTCAATACACAATATCTGTAGCTCACCACATCCCCTCTGTAATCGACTCCGATAAAGTGCTTGTTCTGGAAGCAGGTGAGTGGGACTCTGTTTGTATGGCTGGGGAGGGGGAGAGGGAGGAGGGGGAAGAGGGAGGCACTCTTTTGTGTTTGAGGCATGTCAACACACGATATCTGTAGCGCACTGCATGCACCCTTTGATCACTCTTTGACTTCAATGAAGCAGGTGAGGGGGGCTGTGTGTGTGTGTGCATATGTGAGGGGAGCTGTGTGTGTGTGTGCATATGTGAGGGGAGCTGTGTGTGTGTGTGCATATGTGAGGGGAGCTGTGTGTGTGTGTGCATATGTGAGGGGGGCTGTGTGTTTGCATATGTGTGGGGGTACGTTTGTGTAGGAAGCATCCCAACACACTATATCTAAAGCGCACCACATCCCCTCTGTTATCGACTCTGATCAAGTGCTGGTGCTGGAAGCAGGTGAGCGAGGGGAATGGTGTGAGGTGACTTTTGAGTCGACTCAAAAGTCACTTAGTTATTGACTCTGATCAAGTGCTGGTGCTGGAAGCAGGTGACGGAGGGGAGTGGTGTGGGTGTGTGCGTTGTGCACATGTGGGGGTGTGCGTTGTGCACATGTGGGGGTGTGCGTTGTGCACATGTGGGGGTGTGCGTTGTGCACATGTGGGTCTGTGGGCGATTAATTGTTTGGGACGTTTTAAAAGTCCTTACTGTAGCCCCACCGCGCGGCCCCTCTGCACATTCATCATATTCGTGCTCCCACCACAACTCGCATTCATGCCCTCAACCCACATTTTGCATTCATACCTCCTCATTCTCCGACTAAATTCCAGTTTCGCTGCAACCGCAATGCTCCTCATAGCAGCTAGTCTCTATCCCCACCTTTTCCCTTGATCAGACTGTCTCTACTTGTCATCTCCTCTATTCACTCACCTCTCCCCACTCCTCTCCCTTTGTCTGTCACTCTCCCTCCTGGCGTATCGTTTTATTGCCCTCTTTCCTCTCCGCTTCCACTGTACTCCAAACCCCACTTCCCCTACTGCCCATCAGCTTGCACTGCACGCACGCATCTCACTCTCTGTTTTGACCTACTTTTATTTGATTTGATTTGGTACTACCGGTACCGTCTCCTTTGTTTGGCTCTGCAGGAAGAGTGGAGGAATTTGACTCTCCTGTGCGGCTGCTGGCCAATAAGAGATCGCTCTTCTCACAGTTAGTCGCAGAGTACTCTAAGCGCACAAACACTGTAGCAAACCTAAGTGCCATGGTGCGCATGCCACGCGATTATTCAAGACAAACCATGCCCTTAGATGACTATTAGTACTAACTGATGTAACATGTGCTCACATGATGGCGCACATGCCATGGTGCGCATGCCTCTTGACTGACCAAGCACCTGGATGACTAGTAGAGGTGCAGCATGTAAATGTAACTGATGTTTTTTTTTAGTAAAATGTATTTCCAATCGGCATTAACAGTAGGAGGTACAAATATATATACTGTAATGTACAATTCTTACTAAGGCAGCCTACATTACTGCTCGAAAAAGCTTTCCGCATTATAAGCCAGGCTGTCATAACTGCCTTCTCCTGAACTGGAGTTATGAGCCTATGCACGTGTTCTGCGGGACTATGGCTCCTGCTCGTTAAACTCATCCGCGGTATTAGCCTCTCATTACTGCGTTTACGCTGCAGTGGAGATACTGCCGTTCGGCCTCGCAAGATCGCATGCACTGCGTCCCCGCCTGGTCCTCGTTATAGACCGTTCGCGTTATAAGATAGCCTGCCGTACTCTCTCTATGCTGCATTGGCGTTATTTGCGCTTGGCATCGCGAGTTCGTACGCACTGCGTCTCCGCCTGCTGCTCGTTAAAAACCGTCCGCGATAAAAAAATTCCTGTGCCATCAAGGTAGGATATGAAGAAAGGTGCCAAGTTGTGGGCTTGTGAAAAGGTACCATACGGTACGGGTAGCTATATTCGTCTCTAGTCATTCCCTCCACGCCTTATCCCCTCTGTCAACGCTCTGCATCCCTCCCACCTTTTTCCGCTCCCCTTCCCCGTCCCCATTCCCCTTCCCGCGTCCCTCTCCGCCCACCATCCAGCCAGCAATCCCCCAATACCCCTGCTACAGCCTTCCTCACAGCAACAGCCTTCGCGAATCCACCAGCGGTTATTGAAGTCATCCCAGCAGCAATAGCCCAGCTGGTGTTACCAAGGATCGCGAATTCAGGGGAGCTGACGAAGTCACCAACGATGAGAAATGCAGCAGTGCTGGCGAATGCAGCAATTCTGGCGAATTCAGGGGTGCTGGCGAAACTGGCACTGTTACCACCGCACCCCGTTAACGTCTCTTCCTGGCGAAATGCCTCACCTGGGGTTGCAGAGCGACTGATTCCTTTGCCACGGGCCCTCTCTCCTGCCTACCTTTCGGGTGCGAAACTTCTTGGGCAGATGAACGGTCCTGTGAACAGTTTTTTGGGCAGTCGTGCTTGCTCAGCTGCTGCATCCATCGGCCATGATGCCTCTGCCAGTGTACTCGATACTGAAGGATCCGTTTCTGTTACAACCATTGAGGCGGAATCTCCAGTGACGAGTACAGGAGCCTCTGCTAATGTTGAACTGACTGTAACGAGTATGTCAGGTCTGCTGGAGGAGGCGGGTGGGAGGGGAAAGGGGAGGAGGGGGAGGCCTAAGGGGAGTGGGGAACGGGGAACAGGAGGGGAGGGAGGGGGAAAGGGGACAGTCAAGGGGAAGCAGCTAAGGTTACTGCTGGAGGAGGTAGGGGGTGAGGGATTGGTGGGGGAAGGTGGGGAGGAGGAGATAGGGGCAGATGGCAGTGTGGGAAAGAGAAACCCAGATCTAGAATTGCGCACAGTTGGTGAAGGTTCTATACAGAGTGACTCTAACGGTAGCAGTAACAATGCTGTGAGTGAAGTGGTTGTGGTGAAAAGAACGCGGGGCAGAAGAAAGACGGCTGAGCTGACCGAAAAAAAGGAGGAGGGGGAGATGGAAGGGGCGAAAGGGGGTGAGAACCTTGTGGCGGAAGCAAGGGAGGAGGGGAGAGAAGCAGACAGCAGGATGCAAACAGAATCGCCTGATTCAGTCCTTCCCACAACAACTGGTGGTGGTAATGATTCGATGCTGAGTGACTCTAACCAGAGTGAAATTGATGGAAGTGAAAGTCTGGTTAAAGTGGTGGTGGTGAGGAGAACGCGGGGCAGAAGAAAGTCTGCTGAGCTGACCGAAAAGAGAGAGGAGGTGGGGATGGAGGGGGGGGGAGAGGGAGAGGGGAAAAAGAAGACGGGGAGGGGGAGGCGGAAAAGCAAGGAAGAGAGAGTGAATGATAAAGAGGAGAAGGGAGATGTCGAGGCAGGCGATGACATGCGGATGGGTGTGAGGTCTGACAGTGCAGGTGCTGTGTGTGCTGATGTGGGGGAACCTATGAGTGTTGTGGGGAACCTTGTGTGTGTTGACATGAGGAGGGAGGGACCCAGCCTAGATGGGGGAAGTAACCACGACCCCCCAAGTGTGCACGGTGACACCTCTCTCTTGACTTTAGAGCCGCCTCAAAAGTCCCCAACAGTGGACGGTGGCGACTCTCTCTTGAAATTCCTCCTAAACCTTGCGCTAGAAGCGGTGGGCGGCAGCGACACGGAGGGCGAGAGAGGGTCACACGTACCGGCACCAACCGCACTGGACCCCATGGAATTGCGCAAGAGAGCGTGGCACGCTGATATATCCCAGAGGCATCCCAAGGGGGCTGTCATTTTGGGCGTGGACCCTGACGTGCTGGGGGCCGTGGCTGTGCTTTTTGTTAGGCCCCGGAGGAAACAAGAGGTGGAAAGTTGTGCTGTTAGTGTTGTCAACACCAGGAGCGGACAGGAGGAGCAAGGGGATGGTGTTGAGAAGGTGCTGCATGTTCGGTCTTGTTTTGAGGCAACTCAAAATGCTACGGCAAGTGAATGGGAGGAGAGGCTTACTGTTGCTGCTGCTGAAGCTGCGAGAGAGTGCGGAGGAGGAGGAAGTGGGAGAGGAGCAGTGGAAGAGGAAGGGGAGGGTGAGGAGGATTGTGAGAGAGTGTGGGAGGTTGAGGGGGAGATGGAGGGATGGACACGGATTCTGCCAGGAGCGGATTCTGCCAACGGGTTGGAGGAAGGGAGATCAACAGTGTATGGGCAGGTGGGTTATAGCCTATAGGTGAAATACTGTCAAAATTGGTCTTCAAAACGTTGCAAACTTGAAAATCTGCAACTCTAATCAGCTTCTATTCAAAACCCTGGTTCTGTAACACTGCTCTGCAAATTTTCAAAACTCTACAAAATTTACAAACCTCCGATCCATGACACGCCATAGGAGCCTGTATTTAAACCCCTGGTTCTGAAATCTTGCACTGCAACAAACCCTTCAATTTTTTCACTTGTTCTCGCAGATCCATGACGTGCCATATGAGCTCGTATCCGTGGGTGCTTCCAATCGCAAGAGGCACTGCGCCCAGGCCATAGCGGCTCTCCTGCACCAGTTGCCACCTGCTCCAGGTATGAATGGTCTGGTTACCACCTGCACTGCACCAGGTGGGTCTTATGAGGCACCTCTAGAGGCGCAAGAGGCACAGCGCCCAGGCCATAGCTTCTCTCCTGCACCAGTTACCACCTGCACCGGGTGGGTTACACAGTTAGGTTGCACTCTGGTTACCACATGCATGGGTTTCTAAGGCCCGTCAAACATTGCCCCAGGCCATATCGGCTCCCCTGCACCAGTTGCCACCTGCACCAGTTGCCACCTGCACCAGTTGCCACCTGCACCAGTTGCCACCTGCACCAGTTGTCACCTGCACCAGTTGTCACCTGCACCGGGTATGCTATGGTCTGGTTGCCATCTGCTGCTTTCTTGCAATGTGTTCTGGTTTCTTCCCCTCACCTTCTTGTCACCTTCCTCTCACCTTCCTGTCTCCTTTATTCATCCTTCTTCTTGCCGTCATCTCGCCTTCCTCTCACCTCCCTCACCCTCCTCTCACTTTCCACTCATCTCCCTCCCACCTTCCTCTCAGCTTTCCCAACCTTGCTTCTGCAGAGCCCTAGTGGTTTCGCCTCCCTTCTCACCCTCTTACCCTCTTCTCCTTCCCTTCCTTGCCCCCTGCTCTTCTCCTCCCCTCTCCTCCCCCTTCCTGCTCTTCTACTGGCCCCTTCTCCCCTCATCTTCTCCTTCCCTTCTCGGCCTCCCTCCCTCTCTCCACTCCCATCACCATATCAGTTCGCCTTGCCTATGTGGAGCAGGCCAGGCCGTTCCCCTCTGATGGCAAACAGGTGGGTTGGGATGGGGTGCAATAAGGTGGGATGGGGTGCAATCAGGTGGGATGGGGTGCAAGCAGGTGTGTCCTGCACTCTGAAGTGAAGTGCATCCAAGAAGAAGGTATTACTTCGACACATATTGTATTCTAGAGTGCATTCGGTGCTACAACTTCCCTTCATTCGGTGCTACAACTTCCCTTCATTCGGTGCTACAACTTCCCTTCATTCGGTGGTACAACTTCCCTTCATTCGGTGCTACAACTTCCCTTCATAAGGAGCAAGGCCAGGCCTTGTGACGTGAAGTGAGACATTTTTTAGGCACTTAAAACATCGTCTCACTTTGAAGGCCTTTTAAATGGTGAGACCATTCCCCTCTGATGGCGAGCAGATGAGATGAACGCTGTGCAAAACAGTAAATCATCCAATCCACCTCCTTCCACCCCTTACTCATCCTGCAGGGTTGGTACGGCTGTGGCTTTGGCTTCGGGGTGTGGATGGGCGTGTTGGCAGCAACTCCAAGCGCCCCTCTCTTGTTCACCCCCTCCCCATTCCTCCTCCTCCCTCCCCCTTCCCTTCCTTTCAGGGTTGGTACGGCTGTGGCTTTGGCTTCGGGGTGTGGATGGGCGTGTTGGCAGCAAGTGGGTTTGAGGTCACCGCGGTGACGTCTGTGCGCTGGAAGGCTGCCATTCGCTCACAAGCATCCCTCGCTTTCACCTCCAAGGTCGGTCGCTTTACTCAGCTACTCAGTCAGTCAGTCAGTCAGTCGCTTCGGGGTGTGGATGGGCGTGTTGGCAGCAAGTGGGTTTGAGGTCACTGCAGTGCCGTCTGTGCGATGGAAGGCGGCCGTTCGCACTCAACCAACCACCACTCGCGTTCACCTCCAAGGTTTGTCAGCACTCACTCACTCACTCAGTGAGTAGCTGTGCGCACGTCCCAACCTACTCTGCTCCCAGCAAGTGGGTTTGAGGTCACCGCAGTGACGTCTGTGCGATGGAAGGCTGCCATTCGTTCACAAGCACTGCTTGCTTGCCTTCACCTCCGAGGTCGGTCCCTCACCTACTCACTCGCTCACTCACTCGGTAGGTCTTTCAAACACTCACCCACTCATTCACTCACTCACTCAGTGAGTTGCTGTCTGCACTTCCAACAAGCAAGTGGGTTCGGTTTGTAGGTCACCGCAGTGATGTCTGTGCGGTGAAAGCTGCCATCTGCACACAGGCACCACTCGTTTTCACCGTCAAGGTCACTCACTCACTCAGTCATCCACTCACTCACTCATTCACTCAGTCGGTTAAAATATGACAGTGGTTCACGTGTAAAACCTTTATATGAGCCTTGGCCGCATTACCTCTCGAGGTACCGGACTCTAAGGCTGCCTCATGCACGAATATAGTAACTGCTTTACCTGCTTAGTTTTCAGAAACGTAACAGTGCTTTTATGCTTCACTGTACGCGGATTCGTCTCGCCCCTCTTCTTCTCTCCCCCATGCCCAGGAGGACAGCAGACAGTTGGCTCTCTCGCTTTTCCCCTCCCTGGCCACACAGCTGAAAAGGAAAAAGGACCATGGTGAGTCAGCATATTCTGACATGCCCTCCCTCCCGCCCTGTATTCGCTTAGAACCTCTTTGTTGTCTGCCGCTCAAAGAGGACAACAAAGAGGTTTATATCCTCTTTGTCTTCTGCCGCTCCACTGCTCTCATCATCTGTGCCTACCGCCCATCCACTGTTCTCATCCTTTGCATCCCCATGGTGAGCAGAAGCTCTTTTGTTCTCCATTTATGGCACAACCACCAAGCAATACATGTACATTAGATGCCTGCTGTTCCACGCCTTTCTCTCACCCTCACTCTCTGCACCTCTCGCCCTCTCTCATCGTCTCATCCTCTCCCACCCTCTCTAAACATGTACATTAGAGCCGAGCAGAAGCGCTTCTCATTGCCATATACGGCACAAGCAGAAGCGCATCTCATTGCCATATACGGCACAAGCAGAAGCGCATCTCATTGCCATATACGGCACAAGCAGAAGCGCATCTCATTGCCATATACGGCACAAGCAGAAGCGCTTCTCATTGCCATATACGGCACAAGCCTTTGGCCAGGCTCAGAAATCGTCTGTGTTTGCTGCTCCCACATTTTCTCATCGCCTCTCCCCACTCTCATATTTCCCTCTCCCTTCCTCTCTATTCACAGGCCGAGCAGAGGCCCTCCTGATTGCTACATATGGCACAAACCTTTGGCCTTCCTCAGGTGAAAAGTCGAAGAAGACAAGGAGTAGAGCCAAGGCAGCGACTGGGGAGGCTGTGAGAACTGGTGGTGAGGGCATGGAGGATGGAATCAGCAGAATAGAATCGAAAGAGGACTCGGTGCCATGGTCCATGCCTTTGCCCGTGATATGACTGTTACTACCTCAGGCCAATGTGGTGCCAAGTCAGGCCAGTGAGAAGGAGACTGCTCGGGCTAGTGCCAGTCAGTGAGAAGGAGACGAGGAGAATAGCCAAGGCAAGGGTGAGATGAATGTTACCAGCTCAGGCCAATGAATGGGGACGAGCATAGCATAGCATGTGTATGGCTGCTGCAAGATGGGAAGCAGTGAACCCGCAGCAACTAGTGAGTCTACTTTGAGGCGCATCAAAAGCTCACTGTTGAGATGACTGTTACCAGCTCAGGCCAATGAATGGAGACGAGTAAAGCATGTGCATGGCTGCTGCAAGATGGGAAGCAGTGAACCTCTAGCAGCCAGTGAGAGAGGGGAAGGTGAAGCAGTGCTTGAGTCGGGACCGCTGAAAATGTAGAGCCGACTCTTACCATTTTTTCAGCCACCAAGAACGTCCACGCGTGCTACTGCTGACCTTGCTGCTGCCCTTCAACAGCAGTAGGGTGCATGGGCGATACACAAGAGGTCTTTTGGGTTCTCAATAACCAGCCAAGAAACATTCCAGTCCAGTCCAGTCCATTGGTACCCCTCTTTTTTTTTTGCCACACCCCTTGGAACCGCCTCTTTTATATTTCCAGTCTCTTGTGTCCAGTCCAGACTGGTTTGTAGTGGAACGATGCAATCTTTTTGCTTATTCATACCACATACATGGTACTCTTTACACAGGAGGTGTGTAGTCACAGTTACTGTACCAAGGCCAGCAATATAGGCGCCTGAAAAAAAAAAACTAATTGTTCTAAATGATTGGTAGGTAGCAGGGTGCTGGTTACAAAAGTTTCTTGTGGTGGAAGAAGGATTTGAGGTGGCAGAATTGAAGGGCTGTGAGGGCGATGCAGACGAGGAGAGAAGCGAGACTTATGCATGCTATTCTGAAGTGTGTTGTGTTGACCACTTGCTGCAGCTCCAATTCCCTGCGATTCAAATGACAGTGAGGGAAGAAGAGAAGGAAAGAAAGGTTCTGGAACAAATAGTGCAGATGCAGACCAGGTGCGAAGTGAGACTCGTGCATGTTATTCTAAAGTGTGTTGCGTTGACCACTTGCTGCAGCTCCAATTCCCTGCGATTCAAATGACAGGAAGGGATGCAGGTCAAGCAGGTAATGAAAGGTGAAGAGGAGGAGCAAGGCAAGGCTGAGGCACGCCACTCTCACCTCTGTGAAAGAACTCAAGCTGAGCCGCCCACAGGGGCATGAGGCAGCAACAAGATAATCATGAGTGGGTTGATGGAGGGGGTCAGCTCTCACCTCTCGTGGAAGAATTCGAGCTCATCCGCAACAGAGGTATGAGGCAGCATGTTTGAGGTGCGTGATGTGAACCGTTCATTCCCCAATAGCGAGTTGACTTTTGAGTCGACTCAAAAGTCAACTCTGCGTGATGTGAACTGTTCATTCCCCAATAGCGAGTTGACTTTTGAGTCGACTCAAAAGTCAACTCTGCGTGATGTGAACCGTTCATTCCCCAATAGCAATAACATAGCACCAAGCTGGTAAAGCGAGGGTTGCCTCTCACCTCTCGTGGAAGAATTCTAGCTCATCTGCCATAGAGGCAGCCATGCGTTAATGAGGGTGTTTTTGAGACGTCTCAAAAAGGCTGCTTCTCACTCACCTCTCGTGGAAGAATTCAAGCTCATCCGCCACAGAGGCAGCCATGCTCTCTAGATTTTGGAGCTCCGAGTCAAAGGTCTGACAGCAGAAAGAGGAGAGGAGGAGGGGGGAGGTGATTAAGGAAGGGAATGGCAGAAGGGTGTGTCAACCACTTTGAGGCGAGACCAGCCGCCACAGAGGCAGCCATGCTTTCTAGAGTTTGGAGCTCCGAGTCAAAAGTCTGAAAGCAGAAAGAGGAGTCTGAGGCAAGAAAGGCCGCCAGCCACCACAGAGGCAGCCCTGCTCTCCCATGTCTGGACTGGAGCTCCCATTCAAAAGCCTTTGAAAGGGAAAGGGGATAAAAGTCCCCTCACTTCACCTCACATTGCCTGACCTCTTCTACCCTCCCTTCTTCTGCCCTCCCCTCTATCTACTTCCCTTACATTGCCTCCCCTCTTCTACCCTCCCTTCTTCTGCCCTCCCCTCTACTTCCCTCACATTGCCTCCCCTCTTCTACCCTCCCTTCGTCCGCCCTTCCCTCTACTTCCCTCACATCGCCTCACCTCTTCTACCCTCCTCTTCTTCTGCCCTCCCCTTCTTCTGCCCTCCCCTCTACTTGCCTCGCATCGCCTCACCACTTCAAACCTCCCTTCTTCTGCCCTCACCTCTAATTGCCTCACAACGCCTCATCCCCACCTGCTCCTTCTTGGGTGCTGCGAAGGGACGGGCCTCAAGTGCCCAGTACACAACAAACAATCTTTGAGGCGCCTCAAAAACCGCCTCGAAAATCTCATTCTTGGGTGCGACTGAGGGTCGGGCTTTAAGTGGTCAGTACACAACAAACAATCTCCTTTCCTTTCCTCCGTACCTCACCTTGACTTGCCTCACCTCACCTCACCTCACCTCACCTCACCTCACCTCACCTCACCTCACCTCACCTCACCTCACCTCACCTCACGTCACCTCGACCTGCTCCTTCCTGGGTGTCGTGTGACTTGCCCACAGGCAATGCTACATCCACCTTCCCTCTCCAACCCTCTCTCTCTCTCTTTCATCCTGGCCTCACCTCAACTCGCCTCACCTGAACTTGCTTCACCTCGCCTTGCACTCACCTCGACCTGCTCCTTCCTGGGTGCTTCTGAGAGATGTGCGTCTTTTGATTTCCCCACACGCCATGCCACATCCACCTTCCTCTTCTCCCTCCCTTTGCTGCGCCCTGCACGCGCGCTCCCTGCTGCCGGTATGTCCCTCTCCGTGCCTCTGAGAGGAAAAAAATAGGAGAGAATCAACTTTGGGTTGGATAGAAACACGCCATGCCACATCCACCTTCCTCCTCTCCCTCCCTTTGCTGCGCCCTGCACGCGCGCTCCCTGTTGCCGGCACATCCCTCTCTGTGCCTCTGAGAATCAAAACAAAAAAACACAGGGAATGTAGAAATGTGCTCCCTGCTACTCGCACATCCCGCACATGCGCTCCCTGCTGCCGGCACATCCCTCTCCGTGCCTCTGAGAAGCAGCAATGGTGTGCATACCATACACACAATGTTTATCAGCGATCACAAATGGACCGCACGAGTTTTTAAAAGCACAGGTGATCATCAAGGACCGCCCCAAAAAAGAGGATGTTGGCTCGACTAGAAGAAGGACTTTGGCCTGACTAAAAAACAAGAAAAAAAACTTGAGAACAGTGGTATTCCATGCTCACACAAACATGTGCTTGAGAAGTGTACACCCCCCACCCCCACCCCTCCCTTCCCCCCGCCAACGCCCTCTACTGCTGCTCCTACCCTCTCAGTCCCTCTGAGCAGCAGCAACGGTGGGCACAGGATGGCACACATTGGAGCAAAACGAAACAAGAGCTCAAAAACACAAACAGACGAAATTAGCCGGCTCAAAACAGCCTACCATCCAGCCCACCTGGACAGCCTCACACGCAACATGTGATCCCCTGCTTCCTCTGTTATGAATAATTCTTGAGATATTTTTAGCAGCTCAGCCAACCTCCCCAACCCACCTGGATAGCCACACACAACGTGTGACCCCCGCTTCCTCCGTTATAAGCAATTCCTGAGATTACTTAAGAGCTCAGCCAACCTCCCGAACCCACCTGGACAGCCACACACAGAGCGTGTGATCCCCTGCTTCCTATGTTTTTGGCAGGTGATTTTCTCCCATAATGCTCAGAAATATCCCTCCAACCAAATCAATCAGCCCACCCACCGGGACAGCCACACACACAACGTGTGATCCCCTGCTTTCGTTGCTCGGAATCCAAAGTGCCCCTCTGTCTGCCGCTCCCCATAGTGCAACTGATTCCCCTCGGGCGAGGTCAGCTGAGGGGGAGAAGAGAAGAGAAGTGAAAGACTTTTGAGAATTCCCAAAAGGGAAGTGGAAGGCAACCCAGAATGGGCTCCTCTATAAGCAACACCCTATAGTGCGATTTATGACAACCCAAAGACAACCCTAAATCGCACACAAAGACAACCCAGAATGTGTCCCTCTATAAGCCACACCCTATACTGCAGCTGCTTTCTCCCGGGGGAAATTAGATGGAAGAAGGGGGGGGGGTGGGGGGGAAGTGGAAGAAAAGGTGGGGAGCGGGGAGAGAGGACTGCTAGCTAGTCAACCCAAAATGCCACCCTGTATCTGCTGCTTTCCATCCCCTAGTGCTTGGTAGTTGGGCTTCAAAAGAATTTGTACTTCATAAGTGACGAATTTGTGAAGTGTACTGCTTGAGTGTACTCGATACTTGCCTGCAAGTGTACTTTGAAAGGCGGCTCCGCATCTCCATCCTCCACGCCCACAACTCGATACGAGCCTGCTACTAACGCGTACTGAGGAATCTCCTTGCTCACGCACTTGGCCTGCCGCGACACCTCCATCTGAAAAGAGTTAATCGCGCAAACTACTCGCGAATATGGAAGGAGGAGGAGGAGGAGGAGGAGGAGGAGGGGCAAGAGGAGAAGGTGACTTCTGAGTCTACTCGAAGGGATTGCGCTGCTGAAGGGTCTCGAGACGTGCTTGGCCCATGGCGATACCGCCATTTGAACGTGCTGACGGGACCTCTCAGCACGTCTCCGCCAATCGTGCGAGGTACCGGCGGATAGGGGAGAAGGAGGAGCACGACCGGTGGGAGGTGATGATGTTGATTCGGCCTTCGCTGCTCTGTTACGAGTAACTTGGTAACCAGTCCATAGCTGTCCGTTGCTTTGACTAGTTGTGGAGAGACTGGTGGACAAGGATCAGGAGAGGAGGTGTGGTCATCCCCGCTAATGTCTCATTTATCGATTCGGCGTTATAACGGAGCAGATTAACATTCTTCTTTTGAATTTGTGCCGGTGACGCTTACTGAAAAGTCTCTACATCAGCGAGACACGCGCATAATGCGGGAGGAGACATCAGACGTGATTACAACCATGCCGTAATTAGCGGCTCGGGGCTCGGGCCGACCAGGGCTGAGGAGAAAAACACTACCACCAACCATCATGCCAATCTGGTCTGCGGACTCGTGCGAACTTTCGCATTTCTCGCGATTATCGAGGAGATGGCATTTAGGCACCAGAGATATGTTACAATGCAACTCACTGACCATGACGTTCGCTGTACGGAAGACTCGTTGGAACAAAAGCTGATATATAATGTGGAGTACAAGAAACAGAAATATTTACAATTATAGCATATATACACAAGCTATTTACACAACAGCCAAACAAACAAGTGTTTTTTTCCTGTAGAAAGGGCACATACACACATTCACACATTCAGATGCTTTCAGCAAGACCCTCTGCCGCAATGCTTGACCTTTTTGCCTCCAACTGAAGGTCGTATCGCTCTCCCCACACAACAGCGTACATCAAATCAGGCGCGATATAATCGCATGTGCGCTCAATCCGGAACGGCTCCCCTGGGATCTGCACACACCAAAGAGTACAGCACATAAACAACATTTAGACGGCCACAAGTAGAGGCTGTGGTAAACATTATGCTCATGATCATGCATGCATGCATTGCATATAGGCACTGCATACGGGCTATCTGGGTGTTATATGGATTTTACGTACCTGATTTCCAGAGTGTATCTGGACACCTGTGATGACAGCATAGTCAGCGGTAGAAGGATCCACTGTAAGCGATATAAGCTTCTCCAGGTCCTCGTTAATAGCAGCTAGTGCCGCCCGGGTTACTTGTACAAGTGACAAAGGTGGGTCACCATTGACCACCTGGAAAAGGAGGGGAAGAAAATAGAGGAGGAAGAAAGGAACTGAAAAGAGTGAAAGGAATGGAAGGGTGGGGTTGAGGAAGAAAGGAATGATACGGAGAGAGCAGGGGAAAGGAGGGATGGGAGGTAGGAAGTGGAGCAAGGGCGAGGTAAGGGAGCACATGCTCTCTACGGGAGTATTCAACTCATTACAACAGATTTCCATCGTGTTGTTCACCATCACCACATTCTCCTCATAACAAAAATTCTCCTGCCACAAGCCCTACACGCACACACCTTCCCCTCCCCTCAACTCCCTTCCCTCCTCTCCCGACCACACACACACCTTGCTGGCCACATCTATTCTTGGGCAGCACGTACTCCTCGTCACAGGGGTCCTCCTGCGTCCCCTCTTTTACATTCAGATCGGCACACCGTGCTAGCGACTTTCTTCTTGAGCAGCATGTATTCCTCATCAATCGGGTCCCCCTGCGTCCCCTTGGCCTCGTCCCCACCCATCTCAACCGCATCAAACCTACCAGCATCGCCCACACACGCACCTTGCTCGCAACCTTCTTCTTGAGCAGCACGTACTCTTCGTCAAATGGGTCCTCCTGCGTCCCCTTGGCCTCGTTCAGGTCGGTTTGAATCGCAATCAGCGCGCCACACGCACTTGACGGCCGCCCCCTGCCTCTCCGCAGCAGCGACCCCACCTCGCCAGACTCGCCAATGGACACGTGGGGGAAGGCGAAGAATATGTCTGGAGGGGAGCCAGGAATGAATGGAAAGCGAGAAGAGAGAAGGAGAGAAAAAGAGGTGTGTTAGAAAGGTAGGCACTGCCCCCTGCCTTTTAAGGCGCCTCAAGAGAGGTGACTTTTGAGGCGCCTCAAAAGAGGTGTGTTCGAGAGGTAGGCACTGCCCCCTGCCTCGCCGCAGCAACAAGCCCACCTCTCCCGATTTGCCGATTCGCCGATATGCGGGAAGGCGAAGAAAATGTCTGCAGCGACATGGGGACAAAAGCAGGGAGATATCAGAAGATGCGAGAGAAAGGGGTGTGTTAGAAGGTGTGAGCTCTCGCCCCTTCCTTGTGGCAGCAAGAAGGCTCACTGATGGACACAAGGGGGAAGGCGAACACGATACCTGCAGGGGACGAGGAGAGAGGCAGACGAATGTTTGGGGCCTCGTCTTGCTGTAGTTCACACCCGCCCTGATCTCTCCCTCCCTAGTTGCCATAATCTCTACTCACATCGCTCACGCACAGTCCCATCCGGCTCCCTAAATTCCGGGGAGTGTGATATGGCGGCCTTCAAGCCCGTCTTGCCGCGGTTAACCAGCCCTCCCAGGGCCGAGAGGTTGAATTGAAGCAGAGGTGAGCGGTCAGCATGCTGTAAGAACCATACAAGACACTCACATCTCTCTGCTTTTGAATGGACTCAAAAGCAGAGGTGAGCGGCCAGCATGCTGTAAGAACCATACAAGACACTCACATCTCTCTGCTTTTGAATGGACTCAAAAGCAGAGGTGAGCGGCCAGCATGCTGTAAGAACCATACAAGACACTCACATCTCTCTGCTTTTGAATGGACTCAAAAGCAGAGGTGAGCGGCCAGCATGCTGTAAGAACCATACAAGACACTCACATCTCTCTGCTTTTGAATGGACTCAAAAGCAGAGGTGAGCGGCCAGCATGCTGTAAGAACCATACAAGACACTCACATCTCTCTGCTTTTGAATGGACTCAAAAGCAGAGGTGAGCGGCCAGCATGCTGTAAGAACCATACAAGACACTCACATCTCTCTGCTTTTGAATGGACTCAAAAGCAGAGGTGAGCGGCCAGCATGCTGTAAGAACCATACAAGACACTCACATCTCTCTGCTTTTGAATGGACTCAAAAGCAGAGGTGAGCGGCCAGCATGCTGTAAGAACCATACAAGACACTCACATCTCTCTGCTTTTGAATGGACTCAAAAGCAGAGGTGAGCGGCCAGCATGCTGTAAGAACCATACAAGACACTCACATCTCTCTGCTTTTGAATGGACTCAAAAGCAGAGGTGAGCGGCCAGCATGCTGTAAGAACCATACAAGACACTCACATCTCTCTGCTTTTGAATGGACTCAAAAGCAGAGGTGAGCGGCCAGCATGCTGTAAGAACCATACAAGACACTCACATCTCTCTGCTTTTGAATGGACTCAAAAGCAGAGGTGAGCGGCCAGCATGCTGTAAGAACCATACAAGACACTCACATCTCTCTGCTTTTGAATGGACTCAAAAGCAGAGGTGAGCGGCCAGCATGCTGTAAGAACCATACAAGACACTCACATCTCTCTGCTTTTGAATGGACTCAAAAGCAGAGGTGAGCGGCCAGCATGCTGTAAGAACCATACAAGACACTCACATCTCTCTGCTTTTGAATGGACTCAAAAGCAGAGGTGAGCGGCCAGCATGCTGTAAGAACCATACAAGACACTCACATCTCTCTGCTTTTGAATGGACTCAAAAGCAGAGGTGAGCGGCCAGCATGCTGTAAGAACCATACAAGACACTCACATCTCTCTGCTTTTGAATGGACTCAAAAGCAGAGGTGAGCGGCCAGCATGCTGTAAGAACCATACAAGACACTCACATCTCTCTGCTTTTGAATGGACTCAAAAGCAGAGGTGAGCGGCCAGCATGCTGTAAGAACCATACAAGACACTCACATCTCTCTGCTTTTGAATGGACTCAAAAGCAGAGGTGAGCGGCCAGCATGCTGTAAGAACCATACAAGACACTCACATCTCTCTGCTTTTGAATGGACTCAAAAGCAGAGGTGAGCGGCCAGCATGCTGTAAGAACCATACAAGACACTCACATCTCTCTGCTTTTGAATGGACTCAAAAGCAGAGGTGAGCGGCCAGCATGCTGTAAGAACCATACAAGACACTCACATCTCTCACGCAGAGTCCCGTCTGCCTCTCTGAACTCTGGCGAGTGCGACATGGCAGCCTTAAAGCCCGTCTTGCCGCAGTTCACCAGCCCTCCCAGGCCCGACAGGTTGAAGGAGAGTCCGAATTGCCGGTCGATCAGGCTCACCACCGGGCGGCACACCTCGTCTCGACATGTGTTCACCAGAGCGATGCTATTGGTCCTGGGAGAGGGGGAGAGGTGAGAGTGGGGAAGAGGCGGGAGTGGGAAAGAGGTGGGAGTGGGGAAGAGGTGGAAGAGGGGGAGGACGAGGAGAGGTGAGTTTATTACTCAAGGCATGCCTCGTCTCGACATGTGCTCACCAGAGCGATGCTGTTGATCCTGAGAGTAGGGGCGGGGGGAACAGGAGGAAGAGGGGAGGCGAGAGGGAGAGAACGAGAGAGGGAGGAAGGAAGAATACTTGTATGCCTTTTGAAAGGAGGGGGAGTGAAAGAAGGAGTATGCCTTCTGCGACGACTCAAAAGAAGGAGTATGCCTTCTGCGACGACTCAAAAGAAGGAGTATGCCTTCTGCGACGACTCAAAAGAAGGAGTATGCCTTCTGCGACGACTCAAAAGAAGGAGTATGCCTTCTGCGACGACTCAAAAGAAGGAGTATGCCTTCTGCGACGACTCAAAAGAAGGAGTATGCCTTCTGCGACGACTCAAAAGAAGGAGTATGCCTTCTGCGACGACTCAAAAGAAGGAGTATGCCTTCTGCGACGACTCAAAAGAAGGAGTATGCCTTCTGCGACGACTCAAAAGAAGGAGTATGCCTTCTGCGACGACTCAAAAGAAGGAGTATGCCTTCTGCGACGACTCAAAAGAAGGAGTATGCCTTCTGCGACGACTCAAAAGAAGGAGTATGCCTTCTGCGACGACTCAAAAGAAGGAGTATGCCTTCTGCGACGACTCAAAAGAAGGAGTATGCCTTCTGCGACGACTCAAAAGAAGGAGTATGCCTTCTGCGACGACTCAAAAGAAGGAGTATGCCTTCTGCGACGACTCAAAAGAAGGAGTATGCCTTCTGCGACGACTCAAAAGAAGGAGTATGCCTTCTGCGACGACTCAAAAGAAGGAGTATGCCTTCTGCGACGACTCAAAAGTCACCTCCTCGGGCGGCACACATCATCACAACATGCGCTCACCAGAGAGATGCTGTTGGTCCTGAGAGGAGGGGGGGTGAGAGTGAGAGGATGGAGAGAGAGGGAGGATGGCAGGGAAGAAGAGAGAGGGGGAGGAAGGCGGAATAAGAAGTTCTAGGACTATCTCAAAGCTCACTTCGGCCATAAGGCAGCAGTCATGGGAGGCGGAGGCGGCGGCGGAAGAGGAGGGGGAGGGGAAGATATGGAAAAAGAGAAAGAGGGTGGCGGAGCAGTGGAAAAGGTGAGAGAGGAAAAAGAAGAGGCACGTGGGGGTGAAAAAAAGAGGAGGGAAACGAGGAAGAGATGAGGATGGGAAAAGACGAAGTTGGTGAGACAGTCAGAGATACTTGTCCTCTGTCCCACCAACCTCGTCCTTTTTCATCCCCATCTCTTTCTCGTTTCCCACCATTTTCTCCACCTCTCCCTCCCCCCCCCATCTCTTTCTCCATTTTCCGTATCTTCCCCTCCACCTGCAGTCTCTTCAGCAAACCTCTTTACTCTTCCACCTTTCATTCTCCGCAGCTGCAGCTCGCTGCACTTCCTTTTGACGAGAGGAAGAGGTGAGAGAAGGGAAAAGGTGCGGGAGGGGAAGAGGTGAGGGAGGGGAAGAGGTGAGAGAGGGGAAGAGGTGAGGGAGGAGAAGAGGTGAGGGAGGAGAAGAGGTGGGAGAGGGAAAAAGGTGGAAGAGGGGGAGGGCAAGGAGAGGCGTATTTACGAGGCACACCTTCTAGCGGCGTGCGTTCACCAAAGCAAAGCTATTGGTCCTGGATGGTGGAGAGAGAAGCACGACAGAGGCAGGAGAGAGAAAAGGGGAACTGAAATTTTAATTTCTGTTTTATTTCAGCACCTCTCACCTCTTGAAGCCCAGCTTTCTCAGCGCGACGATGCACCCCTTAATGCTAACTTTGCTCAACACCTCACCTCTTAAAGCCCAGCTTGCTCAGCTCAGTAGCAACCGCCCTCAGAAACGCCTCCTCTTGCACAGCTCGGGGGAAGGTGGCGGCCATTGTTGCCAAAGCTTCTGGTGCCGCCTGCAAATGTTTGAGGGAAAAGTGGGGGCAGTGCGTTAGAGGTGCGGGAAATTGACTGTCGTAAATGATTTGAATGACTGAGCCCTAGGGGATTCAAACAACAGCAACAATGAAAAAAACAAGCACAAAAACAACATCCAGAGTTGCTTGCTTACACTGGTAGCGCGCGGCACGATTCCGCTGGGAGGGTCGTGCGGAACCATGGGCCCGTGGGGGTATGGGTGGGTTGGTGGATGTGCGTGTGGGGGACGATGGCGGGGGAAGGGGGTGGTGGGGGGGATGGCGCGCGTGTTGCTTACACTGGTAGCGCGCGGCACGATTCCGCTGGGAGGGTCCAGCGGAACCATGACTGGGCGGATCGCGGACGGTGATAAGGCGTTCCGCAGCGCGAGATAAGCGGCGGAGCCCAGAGCGCCCGCCACGAGCGACGACGTCGCGATGCTGCTGCTGCTGCTGTTCGCAAGCGTGCTCGCAGGAGTTATCAGCGACGGTGGAACCGGGGATTGCGAAACGGTGGCGATGTGATGCACCTCCGGCGAAAACCTGTGCGACGAAGGCGGAGAGGTGCTTGTTTCGCGAGAAGCTCCAGAGGCGTCGGCGGCGACGTGTGCGAAGGTGGTGATGCCGCGTGTGCGATGTGCGATTTCGCAGGCGATAACACGGCCACTTGGGACTGCAAACATCACGCGTGGGCGGGTAACGATAAGGGAACTTCGCGATTGTTGTAACAGGCGACATTCTTCAAGCCTTGGCATCCGATGTGGACGTGGAAATGCGTCGGCAATCTCAGTGCCGACTCTGCTTCCTTCGCTGTTTTGAAGTGCGTCAAAACAAGAGCCTCTCTATTGCTAAAAGCAGCTCTGCAAGCAGCTCTATCAAATAGGAATAATAATCAAAACTTGTGGATGTGATTCAGGAAAATCGAGTGAAGCATGACTCATCGGAGGGATGTTTTGAGAATTCTTTGAGAATTCTAAAAAAATCCCTGCAACTTGTGGATGTGATTCAGCAAAATCGAGTGAAGCAGGACTCATCGCCAGACCGTCAACAGCGATTATGCTAGTACCAGTCCACGCAAATTCAAGGCTGGCACCATGATGCTAACGCTGGCGATGTGCTCTAAGGCGACTCAGATTCACACTATTTCCATAGCTACTTCGCAAATTGCTAGTACCTGTCCACGCAGGCACCATAGTAACGCCGCCGGCGATACCAGAGCGGAAGGCGAGGAGGGGGTGCGAGGCAGCGAGGCAGGACGACGCGAGAAGCGCGGTCGCCCGCAGATACGCACCGGACGGACGAGCCAGGGCTGCGTCAGGAGACTTACTATTCAGTGAGTTACGAATTCACGTATTCACGACTCTCGAATACACGAATACACGAATCTACAGTGTCTTACGGAACAACGGAATACCACGGAAAAGGTACTTTGCGGTATCTCACGGAAGTACGGGATACCGGAGTGTGGAGCTTCGGTGCTTGATGAAAACACGGTGCGCTAAAAAAAGTGCCGGTTCCCAGGCTTACTCGACGAGTGAGCTATGGACGAGAAACGCCGATTGCATCCGTCACTCGTCGGAGAAAGAGGGAGCAGACACTACTGTAGTATACAAGAAGGCTAAAGAGGCTCACTGGAAAACATAATCTTTGCCGTGACGGGCAGAAGTAACTCGCAGGCTGAAGCGCTGCGCAGTAAGAAATGGTGGAGGAGGGGAGAAATCGAGGCAGCGAGAGGAGGTCAGGAATGCGTGATTGTGAAGTGGTGGTGAACGAAGCAATAAAATCCAGGACAGATTAATTTCTGTGTTTCGTCTGGAAGGTAGTTGTTCTGTTCTTAGAAAGAAACTACTTTCTTGTATATCGACGGCTATATTGAGTTCGTGCGAAGCGCCTCCTCCGACCAGCTGGGAGCTGGGTCACGCGGCACGTACCTGGTGTCATTGCTGACACGCAAATCAGCAGGTACCACGTGGCGAAAAAAGCGAGGGGGATGAACGCTGACTGGAATCTTGACGGGAAGAGATCGCCGGCCGACTACGATGATGGCCTCAATGACAAGGCAGCCACGTCAAACAGCTCCTTGCTGAAGTCAAGTCAGTGTTCCCTCTACAAGCTTTTTCTCTACGAATCGGATTTACTACAACTAGGCTCTAGTGAATGTGAACTTTTCCAATTCTATCCACACAGAATCTAGTGCACAGAAAGTGAAGTATCATGTAGACGAGGTTAACATTATTCCACGGTACGAGTAATTCTATAATGAGTACCTGACAGCTCCCCCTGCGTTCCCCTCTGCCCTTCTTGCGTTCAAAGACACGACTCACGCAATTCCATACGCGTCTCTCGTGCAGCTCGGCATCTTCAAGGAACATCCAGCCAACTTGAAAATCCGCCATCTTGCAGACAAAATTGTCCTTTTCCCGCCAACGTATCCTTCCATCGAGATCTCCATTCCGCTCTAATCAAAACCTCCATAGGACAACAGTTTGACATTGGAGTCGTCGTTTCATGTCACATTTCCTCCATAGGAATTCGAGCACTTTGGTTCCTGCGTCCTGATTCTGTGCAGCATCATGAATGCAAGTCGCTGCATTTCCTCTGTAGACAACCACTAAGTTGTTTTTTCTCGCGTTTCGTTGTGAACCCGCCTTGACGCTTGTCCGGCCCAATGACGATTGATAGGAAGAGCATTGCTTCTTGCTAGCTCTGCTTGGTAGCATAACCATTCGCTCCTTATTTATACACAACAGCACCGCACCTTTCCACATTTCTTACTCGCTCCGGATTGATGTATGTCCGAATGTGACTTTTTGTGCCTGGCTAATGCGGCGCCGATGGTAACGGGCGGCTTGGTGTCCTGCTACCCGCGCAAGGCACACCTAATGGTGTGAGCATTGCCTCGCATCATGGATTTCACGATTCGATTCAGGGTGCCAGCTACGCTGCTTAGAATCACGAAACGTAGCACTGACGACGTCAGTTCGCTGACCAGCGGCACCAGTAACGACTGCATTACGACCACCAGCAGCAGTAGCGGTAGTACCAACGGTAGCCGCAGCAGCCCTGATTCTGTCAACGAGCAAACAACGGCTACGATCACCCAGCCAGCAGCGTCGTCCCACGTGGATTATTCCATATCCGTTGATCCGCAAGAGCCACTCCAATCGGCGTTCAACAAGCTATTCCAGACCCACCTCCCGCACTGCTGGTTTCCTGTTAAGTCAACAGACGCGTCAGCAGCAGGATGGCGTGGATACGGCCAGCGACGAAAAGGGTCAGACGGACGAACAGAAGCAGGCTGTTCGGTTCATGGCTGTCGGGCAAGTGGTGTACCTATCGCCTGAAGCATCACCGGAAAAGGTCAAACTTAAAGCGGGTAGCGTGGTCAAAGTGCTTCCGGTAAGATCGAGGGAGGCGGGGGGTAAGGGAAAACCAGATTCAGGAGTTACCGCCACGGGTAGCAGCAGCAGCAGTGTTGTTGCGAATCACACACCCGCCTCTGCGCCTGCTTCTGCGCCTGGCTCTGCGCCTGCCTCCGCGCCTGTCTCGGCGCACCCGGCCCCTGCGACTGGCGGCAACAGCAAACCCGTCACCAACACCGGCAGGCGCGGCAGCAGCAGCCGTCGCATCCGACCCAGTATCACGAGCGCGCTAGACTACGAACCGATCTCCCGCCCACATGGTGCACCACGTGGATGTCAACCTCCCCTGGAACCACTCCCTCTGCGCCTGCTGCCTCTCGCGCATCCTCCACCCCGCCCCCCCCACCACCTACCAAACCTCAACCCCAAACGCCCTCCGCCTGCACCTGCAGCAGCCGGTGCATGAGAAAATCAAGCCGTGCCCAGCCAGCCACAACCGCCCGTCCCAGGCTATCCTTGCATGTTCTGCCACGGTTAGGGTGCAGGGTGTCTGGGGTACCATGGGCCCGGGTGTGGGGTGTGGGGGGAGCGGGCGCACTGCACTTGCCGCTGCGGCTGCTCGTAGGGGTGGGGTTGGCGGTGGTGGGGGTCTTTCTAGGGTTGGCATTTCTGCAGGCTCTCCTGCGGAACAGTTCAAGTGGAAGGCGGATATCGCGCCCATGCCCGCGGCCGAGGGGATGTTTCTTGAGTGGATGGTAGAGCCACGTGTCGGGCTGCTGTTGGACCTGGATGTGGTCAGATCCCGGCTGGCAGATATGATGAAAATTCACGATCTGGTAGCAGCAAGTGGTGGTGCTACAGCCGGTGGTGGTGCTACAGCCGGTGGTGGTGCTACAGCCGGTAGTGGTGCTCCCAAGCACTTCTGGTGGTGTTGCTGGCAGTGCAGCGCGTGTTGGACCGCCTACCGCCGCTGCCTCTCCGTCGTCGTCTTCCTCGTGCTTGTAGCGAGGCTTCCCCGTATAGTCACACTCTGGCGCCTGCACATGAAATCCTTCAACGTCGCCTTTCCCGCCCTGGCGAATCAGCTGAACGCGGGGAGGCAGATCGGGGGGGTGGGGGGCAGGCAGGCAGAGCGGCAGGCCAGTAGGCAGGCGGGGAAGGGGGGAGGGAGGCAGGCGGGTGGGGAAGCGGAGGAGGATTGCTTTGGATCGATCCTGGTGCAGGTGCTTGGGGTGAAAGGGAAGAAGGAGCTGGAATCGGGGTTTGCTGCTCATGTGCTGCCTCTTCTGCCCGGGGGAAGACAGGCGCACGGGGGTATGAGAGCGGGGACGGGGAGAGGAGGGGGGGTAGGAGGAGGGATTGGCTGGGTGGAAGGGGGGGAGGAGTGGAGGGAGGGGTTGAGAGGGGTGGAGTGGGATGAGTATGTGGAGCGCATGGGGGAGATTATCTCCCAGGGGGGCCTGGAGGCTGAACAGTACAGGTGCAGCTGCAGGCAGTGCGGAGGAGACAACGAGGGTGTACGGGGGAGTGGGGATGGAAGCAGCAGGCATGAACACAGTGGCACTGCTGCTGCTGGTAGTGGTGGTGGTGCCGCCAGTGGCATGGTCATAACTGGCGTTGACCCGACTGACTTTGCTCTCCGGGCTGCATTGACTCTCTGTGTGCCGCTCGCTGCTGTCTACGGCATGCAAGCGTTTACCGGGGCATGCAGTAACAGGTACAAGGAGCGCGTGGAGGACGCTGCTGTGGAGGCAGCCAGGCAACGGCTGGCAGAGAGGGAAGAGAGGCTGGCAGAGAGGGCAGGAGAGGGAGAGAGGGCAGCAGGGCAGAAGCCGGCAGAGAGGCACGGAGGACAGGAGAGAGGTGGGGAGAGGAACAGAGAGGATAGCGAAAGCACAGGGACGGGAGGAGCAGCGGCAGGTGCTGCTGGCACTACTGCTAGTGCACGCGCTACTGCTGCCAGCGCCACTGCTAATGCCCGTCTCGTGCCAGTCATCAGTGACCCAGCAGTGGCACTCTTCACGTACCGTGCCGCCTGCCTCCTTCTATGGGTGCGAGTGCACGGCCCCAGGCTCAACCCCCCCAGCTACTGCACCCGCACCAACCCGGAAGCCCCAGCCCTGGCGCTCCCGCACCCGGTGCACGACCTCCCGAGCCTCCTGCTCAGGTTCGGCGCCATCCCCAAGCCTGTGGGCACGGCAGGTTCGGAAGGTTCTGCGGTGCAGGAGTTTGGTGCGGGAGGAGGGGTTCCGGGGTGGGAGGAGTTTCCAGTGGGGGACAGAGAGGCCCTGAAGGCACATAGCAGTGGCAGTGCCCTGGGAGGGAGGGAACGAGTACAAGGCATAGGAGGGGTGGAAGAGGGAACTGCAGGGCTTGCGAGTGGGGAGTTTTTGGGGCTGAATACCTTTCAAACAGGCAGCTTACGGGACTCTGTGTTCGACCGAGATGAGATGCTGAAAGAATTCAACGTTGGGTCAGCAAAGAGTCTGCAGGAGAGGGGGATTGCCATGAGCCCAGTAGAGAGCGTGCAGGAGTATGGAGCTGCCAAGGCTCTGAGTGACAGCAGCACGCACACTCCCACGTTCCCGACTGTTGCGGACCGCGTCGAGGAGTTTCTGAAAAGGTTCTCGCCGAAGCGGCTGGCGAAGGAGGGGCGGGGCGGGCCGCTGGCACGAGCAATCACCGACTGGGTGCTGCGCCTCCAGCTGGTGGCAGCTGCAGAGACTAGCAGCAGCGGTGTCAGCAGCAGCAGCAGCAGCAGCAGCAGCAGCAGCAGCAGCAGCAGCAGCAGCAGCAGCAGCAGCAGCAGCAGCACAAACAAGGGGGCAAAGGGAGAGAAAATTGATATGAGCTGGGCGGCGCTGGCCCTGGGGGCGTATTCCCCGGGCAAGTTAAAGCCCATGCTGAGATCCCCTCAAGAGGTGGATGCGTTTCTGGAGTTCATGGCGGCCATGACCACCCTCACGCCCGCCTGCACCGGCTGCAGCTTGTGTCTCAACGTGTTCAACAGGGCAGTTACTCCCGCCGCTGTTGTTGCCTCGTTTGCTTTCCGCCCCTCCTCGGTGCTCCTCCGCTGCATCTTCTCGCTCTATCCCCAGCGCTTCACTCCGGTGAGAGTTCTCCTAGACAAATAGAGACCGCATTCAAACCCGAAACCCCAAACTCTTCAGTTGGGAGTTTTTAGAGTTTGTTGAAAAGCCGTTATGTTAGATTAAATGCCCCTCTGTTGGTGCTCCTCCGCTGCATCCTCTTGCCTTATACCCTGCGCTTCACTCAGGTAAAAGTTCTCCTTGACATGTAGAGACGCCGCTTAAACCCTAAACTCCTCAGGTGGTTGTTTTAAGAGGCAATGGATGGGCCATTACGTTCGATTAAATGCCCCCTCGTTGGTGCTCCTCGGATGCATCCTCTTGCTCCACCGCCCGCTCTCACCTCAGATAAGAGTCCTCCCTATAAAAGTGATTGTTTGAGACGTCTCAAAAAAACCTCCCTATAGGTGCCTGCGAGATATAGGTGCCTGCTAGTCGAAATGGGTGGGTTTCACGGCGATGAATTCGTCACCACGTTAGATAGAATGCCCCTCGCTGGTGCTTCTTCTGCGCTGCATCCTGTCACTCTACCTCCCGTTTCCCCCTCAGGTTAGAGTTCGCCTAGACCCTTCGATGTTTTGAAAGCAACTTAAAACTCATCCCGTTTGATAGAATGCGCTTGGTTGGTGCTCCTTCGCTACATCCTCTCACTCTATCGCCCATGTTCCCATCACGTGAGAGGGGAACATGGGTTTCTCTATGCAGACAGAGATGCCTTCAAGTCCCTGTAGTTATTATCACGACAAGTCATTGCTGAACGGGAGGTAGAGTTAGAGTCTTTCAATTCGCTTCTTTCTCTCCCCCTCTACCACCCACACCCCTCTCAGATGAAAGAGCTCCTCGACACGCCCGGAATCTACTGTTCATCTACTTGCAATTCCCCTCTGCCCTTCTCCTCTGTCTTTTTTTTGCCCTCTGTGCTCGCACCCCCTTCAGATGAAGGAGTTTCTAGAAACACGCTCGGATTCCCCCCGTGCCGGACCTGGTCCCGGCTCGGCTGGTGGCTGCTCTTCTCAAAGGCGTGGTGGAGCACAAGCGACTGCACTTCCTCTACACAGCGACATGTGTTGCTGTCTCTTGGAATCAGCTTCAACGATATAATGCCCCCCCCCATCCGTCTCCTTTACCCTGCTCTCTTCTCCTCTGTCTCCCTCTACCACACACACCCCATTCAGATGAAAGAGCTGCTAGACACGCTCGGGATCCCCCCGCTGCCGGACCTGATCCCGAACCGCCTCATGGCTCCTCTTCTTGAAGGCGTGCTGGAGCACAAGCGACTGCACTTCCTCTACACCGCAGCCATCCTGCTGTCTCGGGAAGGCGTCGTACAGGACATCATGGAGTTGCACAGAGCAGATGGAGTGGTGAGGAGTGAGGAGGAGTTGAGAGAGGTGGAGTGGAACGGGTGGGAGGGGGGGGAGGAGTGGCTGATGTGGGAGGAGGTGGATAGCTGGAGAAACGCATTGCTTAGAGCATGGCCTGTTACTGAGATGTATGAGGCGCCGCATAGCTGGGCGGCGACGGGGGAGGAGGAGAGAGTGAGGGAGTGTTGTGCGGGGATGAGACGGAGGGAGAGGGAGTGTGAGGAGATTAGTCGGGGGAAGGAGTGGGCTTTGGTGGATAGAATGGTTGCCGCTGCTGCAGTGGGTGAACCCACTGGGGTGGGTGGGGGGAGTGAACCCGTTTGCATGCCTGCGGGAGATGCTGCTGGGGGAGACGTGCCATTGGGAGCTCTCAAACGGGTGGCGGGTCGGGGTGACACCTGGTGCAGGCTCTTCTGCTGCTGCCCCTGCTGTGTCAGACACAAGAGCACCTGCAGCAGCAGCAGCAGCAGCTGTGGCAGGAGGAGCAGGAGACGGAGCAGTGGCAGCAGGGGGGGTGCGTTGCTGTGCCTTCCCCGAGTGTGGCAGGGCAGAGGGGCCGGGGTGGCCGCCGTTGAAGGCTTGCGCGCGGTGCAGCCAGGCTGCTTACTGCGACAGGGACTGCCAGGTGGCCCACTGGAAGGTGCACAAGCTGCAGTGCCAGCCAAAGTGATTGCCAGACTACCGGAATGCTGAGGAAGCATCCTGAACTGTTGCAGGCATGCTCGCGGTGTGGCCAGGCTACTTACTTTGACAGGGACTGCCAGACGGCCCACTGGAAGGTGCATAAGTCGAAGTGCCAGCCTAAGAAATAGCAGAGGGGAAGAGGACGAGGAAGGGTTGGGGATAAGTGTGGCACGTCAAAATTGTGAGGGGTCAGGCTGCTTACTGCGACAGGGACTGCCAAAAGGCCAATGGATAAGGAAGGGGGAGGGGGGAGGGGAAAGGAGATTTGAGAAAAGGGACAGGGGAAGGGGAAGGAAACGGAGGACACTTGTTAGAATGAGGGTGCTGCTTTATGGTCAGCGGTACAATGTGGATGGATTTTTATAAAAAAAAAAGTGCTGCAAATGTCACTGGTGCCTACTCTCAACTCAACAGTGCGTTTTATACGTATTGCTACAGGGTTAGCCGAGGGTCTTGTCTTGAAAGTATTTAATGACGCATTTATCCATTCCTGCATTGATTTCTGCCTCTATGGATCTGAATGCAAATACTCAATAGGCTGGTTATTCTGTGTCAATTATGCTATGGCATTCCTTTGGTTCAGAGAAACCGTGTTGTGCCTAATATCGTGAAGCCTAGTGTTGGTTTCCGTGTTTCCTTCTTCCCGATCTGTTTCCCCTCCATCCACGAATCGCGACGATATCGAGGCCCGTTCCCAGTCCATGGCGAATCCGAGAAGTAAACCGCATTCTCTTCGCCAGAACTTGGGCGGAACCAACTACGCGACTGAGGTTCAGGAGTACAATAGGTTTCAATAAGTATCGCTGAAATTCGACCAGGGTTTCAAGCTACATCCGACGATCTTACCAGCAAGATCCAATGTGTACATGAAACGTTGCAACTGCTACCGCTAATCGGACTTGCTCGGCTATTCCAATCCGCCATTGTAGAGCGGTCGGTCATGGGGAATTTCCACGAAGTTCATTTGTCGCCTCGAAGGCGTCGCAAGGCGTCGTGGCTATCGCTGTTTCACAGGCGACGTCGCACGATCCTGATCGTTATCGTGTCGCTGTTTGCCGTCCATGGACTCTACCTCTTCACGCAGTTCAAGCTCCATGTCAGTCCATTCTACCTTTCCAACTCCTGCTGCTCTTCAAACATTTGCTTGACATCATTTGCTTAAATACAAATAAAATTAAAGTTTGTCTTTTAGCTGACTCAAAACACATTGGTCTGACGTCCATGGACTCTACCCCGTCACGCACTTCAAGCAGCATGTTAGTCCACTCTACTTTCAACTTTTCTGCTGCTCTTCCGGGCATTTTCTCATCATGATTTATTATTGTGTCAAAGGTGTGTTATGAGTCGATTCAAATCACCTTCGTTTTCCGTCCATGGATCTCTACCTCTGCCTGTCAGTCCGCTCTTCCTATGAATCTCCCTCTCTCCTGGATAAGCTCATCTCACTCATATCACTCAAATTTCTCAGGAATTTCTTCTGACAACACACTGGTTTTGCCATATCTCGCATACATCACAGGAAGGCGTGGAGTGCTATATTTTGAGGCACCTAACAAAAAGTATATGTAAAAATCGAACCAACCTCCACTTTTTGTTATGTCTGCTTGGCGTTCACAGGAAGGCGTGGAGTGCTCCTTCCCCACCTCGTCCATTCTCCCTTTTCACGCCTCCGAACCTTCACCATTCTCAAAGGAGACAAACGACAAGGTGAGAAGACGCCAACATTTGTGGAGAGCAGTCTCAGCGCGAGAAGCTTAAAAATTCGACCAGGAGAAGCTTAAAAAAGTCCCCCCACTCGCCCAGTTCCCGGCACGGGCTCCCCATCCCTCCGGCATGGGCAGCATTCCGGCTCTTTGGGCTGTACCTCTCATGCAAAACACAATTGAAATTCACACGGACATCCCACGAGAACCTTCTGGGTCTGAAGTTTTTTTTTTCTCTTCCTTATTCCCCTGATGTTTCTTCTCCCTCTCCCCTTCGACCCTCCCTTCAACCTTCCCTTCTCCCTCACCCTTTCCTCCTGCCCGTGCAGTTCCTAGCGTGGGCAGCATCCCACGGGCTGTATCTCTCCCCAAAAGCACGAATCAGGCTCACACCAGACATTCCACCAGAGCCTCTCGAATCCGCTACAGACAGCCCCACTATAAAGACGAAAACCACTGGCAGCACCAGCAGCAGCGGCAGTGGTGCCGGTGGTGGTGGCAAGGGTGGTAGCAAGAAGGGGGGCAAGGGTGCAAAAGGGGAGAGTGGAGGGAGTGGGGTGGTGCGTTTGGTGCGAGGGCTGGTGGCAGAGGCGGATATGGAGGCGGGAGACACGCTGTGCAAGATACCAGTGAGTGCTACGACGCAGGTTATCAGGGGTACGAAAGGCAGTTATTATGGGCAAACAGAAGAGGTAGCTGGTCTGAGGGCTGGTGGCAGAGGCGGATATGAAGGCGGGAGACACGCTGTGCAAGATACCAGTGAGGGTGACGAGGCAGCTTATCAGGGGTACAATAGGCAGTTTTTTTGGGCCAACAGACGAGGTGGCTGATCCGAGGGCTGGTGGCAGAGGCGGATATGGAGGCGGGAGACACGCTGTGCAAGATACCGGTGAGTGTGGCGAGGCAGGTATCGGTGGTGTGGTGCGATGCGATAGGCAATTGTGTTGGGAAAACGGAGCGGGTCAGTGGTGCGTCTGGTCTGGTGCATTGCCTTTTGAGTCTAGTGTGTCGTTGGCGTTTGGTGTGAGCTCTTTGGTGGCAGAGGCTGATGTGAAAGCAGGAGACACGCTGTGTGTGCAAGATACCGATAAGTACTACTACAATTGTGACAGTAAGTAGGCAGGTTGAGTGAGAGAATGAGCGCCTGTTGTGGCAATTGAAGGGAAAAGAAGAGATTGGGTGGCGCATTTGGTGCATCTGGTGCGGTTGTTTTTGAGAATTCTCAAAACACCCTGCAACAGAAGGGAAAAGTTGAAATCGGGGTGGCGCATTTGGTGCATCTGGTGCGTTTGATGGTTGGCTGGTTGCAGAGGCGGATATGGAAGTAGCTCGGGAGACACGCTGTGCAAGATACCAGTGAGTGCTGTGACGAGTGTTGTGGAAGGCAATTGTGATGGAGGGTTGTCGCTTGTTGCAAATGAAACAGATTACTGGGGATGGTGCGTTTGGTGCGTATGGTGTGTCTGGTGCGTATGGTGCGAAGTCTGTGGCATAGGCACGAGATGCTGGCTAGCATTACGGTTGCAATGTGGTGCAATGTACTAATGAGTGTTATAGTCAACAAGTGTTGCCCTTTTCGAGATCCCATGCCTCTCCTTTGTGCCTGCAACACTCTTCTCCTCTCCAGATGTCTCTAGCCCTTTGGTTCAACACCGGTCAGGAAGCAGATGCGGAGGGAACACGAGGAGTGGCAGGAGTGGGTGGGGCGACTTTTGAAACGTCTCAAATGTGAATCCCATGCGTCTCCTTCGTGCCTTGCAATTCACAACTTCCCTCCAGATGTCTCTAGCCCTGTGGTTCAACACAAGCCAGGAAGGAGATGCAGAGGGAACACGAGGAGGATTGGCAGGAGCAGGTGGGGCGGGCGGGGCGAAGGGAGGCGGGAGCATGAGGGAGAGGATGAGGGAGATGCGGCAGCGGGTGCTGCAGGGGAGGGCGGCTGCTAAGGCCGGCATTGGCGGCGGTGGGAGGAAGCAACTGGGGTGGGACCTGGTCGCTCTGCGGATTCTTGAAGAAAAGTGAGTGCTTGCGTGATGGGTGATGGGGGTGGGAAAGGGAGCGGGAAGAGGGCTATGGAAGGGGCGAATGTAGGTGGGGCATGAGGGAGAAGCAGCTGGGGTGGGGCCTGGTCGCTCTGAGGATTCTTGACGAGAAGTGAGTGCTTGCGTGGAGGGTTATGGGGGTGAATGGGGGGGAAAGGGGGCCTGGGAACGGGGGAAAAGGAGGGGAAGGGGCGAAGGGAGGTGGGCATGAGGAAGAGGCGGCTTGGGTGGGACCTGGTTGCTCTGAGGATTCTTGAAGAGAAGTGAGTGCTTTCCTCTTGGGGTGATGGCGGTGGGAGGGGGGGAGGGGGGGCGGGGAGACGGCCTAGGGAATGGGGAAAGAGGGGAGGGGAAGGCGCCCTACATTCTCAAAAGTGATTTCGAAAGAGGGGAGGGGAAGGCGCCCTACATCATCCGCTCCTTGTGTCCACTCCACACATCTCTGTCATCTTCAGCCATATGACTTTTGAGACGTCTCAAAAGTCGCTCCTTGTGTCCGGTCCACACATCTCTGTCATCTCCCCACCTCCCCACCTCCCTTTCTTGTAACCTTCTCCCACCCCCGTGAAAAAAGGAGTGTTTTGAGACGTCTCAAAACACTCCTTTTTTCACGTGGCTCCCACCCCCATATCTCACTTGTACCAACCAAACCCTCGTCTTGTGTGTACCACCCCGCAGAGCAAAGGGAGATGCCCCCTCCTCAGCGCTCTACATCCGCTCCCTGCCTCCAAACATCTCTCTGTTGTCCCCCCACCTCTCTCTCTTGCAACCTGCTCCCCCACGCATCTCCCCTGTACCAACTCTGCAGAGCAAAGGGTGATGCCTCCCCCTGGGCGCCCTACATTCGCTCCCTGCCTCCCTCTGTTCCTCTGCCCATCTTCCTCCCTCCTGAGGTGAGTACACTGACCCCCTTACAAAGGTTAAACCCCTGGCCTACTCCTGTCCACCCCATTGGTCACTCCCAGTCAGTTCATTTTTTCATCAGTTATGACCTGCTTTGTTACTACCCAAGACAGCACCACCCAACGTTCAACGTTCAGCTGGATTGCTAGAAGTTGGGACCGCCCAATAAGCCCTGTTCTGTTTCAAGTTTTCACTGTTCTGCTGTGCCGTGTTCTGGTGCTATGTCACATGATGGTGGGAGGAAGAGGGAGAGGTGCAGTGGGCATTGCCAATGGAGCGATGAACGAGGAGATTAACCATGCTCACCTCGACCTCACTTGCGCCGTGCTTCTTCCCCCCCCGCTCATACGCTCTGTTCCTCTGCCGTGGTATGTTTTTATCTGATGGTGGCAGGAGGAGGGAGAGGTGCAGTGGGCATCGACCATGGAGCAGGTGAAGAGGATGAACGAGGAGATCAGAGAGACATTCCATCACAAGCACCAAGCCTCCTCCCAACCACCTCCTCCCAACCGCTGTTGCTCCTTCTCCCCCTGCTGCTGTGATGTGCCTGTCCTGCTCTGTCATGCTGTGTCATCAGGAGGAGGGAGAGGTGCAGTGGGCATCGACCATGGAGCAGGTGAAGCGGATGAACGAGGAGATCAGAGAGACATACCACAAGCACCGTGATTCCACGCATCCCACCCTTTCCTTTGATGAGTACAGTGAGTGGCATTCCATTAAATTTATGAATCGGGTGCTTGTCAGGTGTTTATCAGCTGTAGCCATTTGCAAGCTGGTTAGCAGGAAAAACAAATCATGACAACTTCTGAGACGTCTCAAAAGTGTGAGCTGGTTAGCAGGAAAGAAAATCACGGCATTGCGAGCTGGTTAGCAGGAAAAACAAATCACGACATTGCGAGCTGGTTAGCAGGAAAAACAAATCACGACATTGCGAGCTGGTTAGCAGGAAAAACAAATCACGACATTGCGAGCTGGTTAGCAGGAAAAACAAATCACGACATTGCAAGCTGGTTAGCAGGAAAAACAAATCACGACATTGCGAGCAATGTATCCAGCATTTCGTGTTGGTCATGATGTCACCGAATATGCACGGTTGTGCATATAAGGTGCCAGTTTTGCTGCGGTGTAGTTTCAAGTGTAATATGACTGTATGTGAAGATCGGGGGTGTAGGTAGTTGGGGACCAGGGAGAGTGTCGCGAAGTTGGTAGGAGAGTTCCGAGGAGTGCAGTCCAATGAACCAATGTGGATGCACCAACCCAGGCTGGAAGCGCACATTGAGAAATGCACGCTTCGAGCCTAGGCCAGGTAAATTCACTCTCACACACACACTCGTTGCTTTCCGTTTGTTATCCTTTCACAAAGAAGCCAAAGAGAGGAAAAGCATCAGATTACAGGACAAATGACAGGCAGAGCTGTTTCACAGGTGGCAGGCAGAGCTGTTTCTCCGACAATGACACAACACGAACCTCCTCAAGTGGGCTCTCCCTCCCTCCCTCCTCAAGTGGGCCCTTTCCAGGATGACATCCAAGCCGCCACCACTTGGTCAAGCATTTTCTCAATGCTTAATCAAGCATTTTCTTAACACCCTTCCCCTCACTCCTTTTTCCTTTTTCCACCCTCCTTACTCCATCCTCCATCCTTACCTGCCTCCCTCCCTTCCTCCTTTTTCCCTTGCTCCCAGAGTGGGCGGTTTCAATGGTTCACAGCCGGGCTTTCACTCTGCCAGTCAGGCCGGGGGGCAAGTTTGAGCAGTTTGTGATGATGCCGTTCATGGATGCCATCAACCATCATTACAACAACCACGTGAGTCAGCATCGCACCCATGTGAGTCAGCACTACACCCATTTGAGTCAGCAAGGCAACCTGTGAGTCAGCGGAGCAAACCTGTGAGTCAGCACAAGACTACACCTTCCTGATCTTGCCCTGTATGTATGCCCCACCACAGTGTGTGATGTCTCATGCTGACTCACAATGCCAATCCCACACACCAACCATCCCCTCACCTTCCATCCTTCCCCCGTTCTCTCCCTCGCAGAGGACTGGATGGCAAGGCCTGTCTCATCTGAGGGGGTGCTGGAGATCTGGCTAATACGACTCTTGAGGCTCATCAAAAGTCGCTCCCCGCCCTCTGCCCCTTCCCTCCCTTGCAGATGGACTGGATGGCAAAGCCTGTCTCATCTGAGGGGGTGTTGGAGATCCGGCTAAAGCGGGCTGCCAAGAAGGGAGAGCAGCTCTTCACCTCCTTCGGCCCTCGCAGCAACGAGAACCTCTTTCTCTACTATGGTGAGTGGGTGGGCCTGGTGGCTTGCAACTGAGCCTCCATGTTGTTGGTTTTTCACCTGATGGAGTTTTGGGGATAGGGCCGCCAAGAAGGGAGAGCAGCTCTTCACATCGTTTGGGCCCCGCAGCAACGAGAACCTTTTTCTCTACTATGGTGAGTGAACGTTGCTAGTTGCGCAGGTATTAACCTCTGGGACGCCTCAATACCTTTGGCCGTGTGGTAGTGAGGCTTAATTGCTTGCAATTCAGACTCCGTTAAATTGAGTGAGCTTACGGCTTGCACTTGAGGCCCCGTCAGACCTTTGGTAATCTCTCTTTTCCTCCCAGGCCTCCCTTGGCCTGCCTTGATTTTTCGTGACTTGCCTTGACCTCTGTTGACTTCCATTGATCCCCCATTGACCCCCGTTGACCCCCATTGACCACCATTGTCCTTCACTGATCTCTGTTAAGCCCTTTAACCTTGCCTCGTCCGAGCAGGCTTTATTCTGACCTCCCGCCCCCTTCCCCCCACCACGCACAAGCAGGATTCATTCTGGATGGCAATCCCTTTGACAGCCTCGCTCTCTTCCCCTCCTTTGAGGACTCGGTGCGCTGGTTGCTCGACCGAAATTACACAGACTGCCGCTCCGACTCCCTCTGACTTGCGTTGACCCCCCATTGTCTTGCGTTGACCCCACTGTTGACCCCCATTTACCCGCCAGGTTTCATTCTGGACGGCAATCCCTTTGACAGCCTCGCTCTCTTCCCCTCCTTTGAGGACTCGGTGCGCTGGTTGCTCGACCGATTCTACACAGACTGCCGCTCCGACTCCCTCTGACTTGCGTTGACCCCCCATTGTCTTGCGTTGACCCCACTGTTGACCCCCATTTACCCGCCAGGTTTCATTCTGGACGGCAATCCCTTTGACAGCCTCGCTCTCTTCCCCTCCTTTGAGGACTCGGTGCGCTGGTTGCTCGACCGATTCTACACAGACTGCCCCTCCGACTCCCTTTGACTTGCGTTGACCCCCCATTGTCTTGCGTTGACCCCACTGTTGACCCCCATTTACCCGCCAGGTTTCATTCTGGACGGCAATCCCTTTGACAGCCTCGCTCTCTTCCCCTCCTTTGAGGACTCGGTGCGCTGGCTGCTCGACCGATTCTACACGGACTGCCGCTCCGACTCCCTCTGACTTGCGTTGACCCCCCATTGTCTTGCGTTGACCCCACTGTTGACCCCCATTTACCCGCCAGGTTTCATTCTGGACGGCAATCCCTTTGACAGCCTCGCTCTCTTCCCTTCCTTCGAAGACTCGGTGCGCTGGCTGCTCGACCGCGTCTACACGGACTGCCGCTCCGACTCCCTCCAGCGCCACATGACCGTCGCAGCCATCGCCGGCGCCTCCTCCTCCGCCGCCTCCTCCGCCGTCGCCTCTGCCGCTGTCTCTTCCTGCTCCCGCATCTCCTTCACTCAGGCGTGGAAGCATGCCCGTGCGGCCCTTGATCGGCCCTCGTCGCACGATGCTTCTCGGGGGTTTGAGCAGGACAGGAACCTCTGGTGGGATTTAATGAACAGCTGGGCTTCGTTTGGGTATGAGATCCTGCCGTACCGGGCAGGTCCGGATGTTCGTCCGGCCGGGAGGGTTGATCCGAGCCTGCTCGCCGCGCTTGCCGCGGCGGCTCGGTTTGCAGCTTCGGCGCCGAACCGGACGCTGCCTGCTGGTGCGTTTCCGAGGTGCCCACCTGGTTGGCGGAAAGATGGGAAGAGTGGAGGCGGTTGGGGGAGGGTGGGTGGTGGGGGTGAGGGGAAAGGAGGTTTGCTCTGGCCTAGATGTTGCCGAACCAAGGCATGGAGGATAGCTTGCCGGAGTGATGGGGTTGGGGGGAAAGGGTCAACCGAGTCAACTGAGTCAACAGGGAATGAGGTGGATGATGAATTGGGGGATGATGGGGAGGTGCAGACAGGAGGGAGCTCAGGCAGATCTGCAGGGTCAACGGACGGTGAGGATGTAGCAAAAGCAGCATTAAGAGCTGCCAAGGCAGCAGAGGACGAGGCTGCAGTGGCTGCAGCGGAGTATGTGAAGCTGCTTATAGTGAGGCGGTGCCGCGAGCTGATGATCGGCATGGCCACGCCGGCGCACTACGATTGGTGGCTACTGCAGGATGTGGATCGTGTGGGAGGGAAGCTTCTGGGAAGCGACGGAGGGGTGGATGGGACAGGAGCGAAAAGAATTGGTAGCGGTGGTATGGGAAGCAGCAGCAGCAGTGCTGCTGGCGGTGGTGGTGGTGGTCGCAGTGGTAGTGCTGCCAGTGGTGCTGATGGTGGGAGCAGCAGTAGCAGTGGGGGTGACGGTGCTGGGGTTGGAGGGGAGTTAGAGAGGGAGGGTGAGATGCAGTGCAAGTTCAGGGGGCAGGTGTTGTCGCCGCAACGGTTGCTTGCTGTCAAGTATCGGCTCAGTAGAAAGGAGATGCTGCTGGCTGTTATACGACGGCTGGAAGCTGGACTGTAGAGTGTACTTCAGTAATCTGTTTACCTAACTCGCAAGGAGCTCATTGTCAACAACCTTTTAGGGGGGACGTTGACTTCAGCAAGGAGCTGCTGACGTGGATTCGTGGAGAGATGTCTGTGCGTACCCTTTAGTACTTATACTGTAACACTCTTTTGATTACAAGCTGTCATACATCCAAATCTTATCCAGAAAACAGTGGTCATATCTACAGTGTGTGTGTCTCATTCCAACTTGTGTTTCTAGTCAATCACCCGTGGGGAGTGGGGCAATCCATTCTCGAATGCCGTCATATCCACAATCAATGCAATGTGGGATCCGTGAATCTTCTTTCTTGTATACATACATGTCGTCTCTCCCCCTTGAAGTTGCTGCTGTTCGGGTTGTCAAAGCAACGTGCCGCTTTATGCCCTTTCTTCCCACAATAGAAGCAGAGTCCATGTCTTATACCCCTTGCCGCCGGTGCACTCTCCATCTCGGACTTGGCATTATTTCTACGCCTGGCAGCTTCTTCCCTTCTTTTGCTGTCAGCTTTCATGGTTTCTAAATCCCGCAATTTCCCAATCAAATCTGTCAAGCTTGTCGGCCGGGTGCACGTAAGGACGATACGTTCTATCTCCCACTCCTTCGACAATCCAGAGACGATGCAGTATATCACATCTTTTTCAGTTTCTGCTGCTCCCATAGCCTTTAATTCGCTGTAGTAGAGCATCGCCCTATGTACGTAGTCCATGATGCTCTCATGAGGCTCCATGCTCAGAAATAACAACTTCCTCCTCAGTAACAGCTTACTCTGCTGGAACAGCATCCCCCCCTTCATACTATCTGCTTCCATATACGCAAACCTCAAAAGGTTGTTCCCGTATGGCGCCTACTGGCCGGGACTTTCAGTAAACTACGAGCTTGAGTGATGGTTTGGATGAATGGAAAATAAAGCCCTGGAGGTTGTAACCTGCTGTGATATAATCCACGGGAGGTGGCTCAAGTGACAAGTCAAGTGCGTGAAGGAAATATGAGCAATGGGGCGGGGGTTGTGTTTGAGCGGGGTGTGTTTTATTTGCGTTTTTAACCCACGTTGAGCAATTTTTGGCCAGCGGGCAGCACAAGGGTCAGGGATGAGCAAATTTCGCGCCATTGGGGGGAAGGTGGGGATGGACCTTCCCGATGCGGTTGAGAAATCTCGCCTTTCGGGCGCGCGTAGTTTCTCGGGCGGCATTTCGCCCAAACCTCGGAGGAGGGTTCCGCCCCGTTTCCATATGCGGTCGCGATGCTGATGCCATCGTTTTCTGTTGAAGAAACGATTTGCTGGCGAACAGCACCATTCATTCGGAATGCTCAAGGGCCTCGCGTAACGTGCGCCTCATGCAGACGCAACCACCACGAAATGCGTTGCTGGATGGGCATTTCCACAGAACCGGTTCTGTTCAAGCTTAACCGTAGAACCTCGTAACAATTAGCAGGACCACACGCTAGCGAAGAAATCACGACATTCGGCGCCCCGTGTAACCTGTACAATTCCTAGTCACGAAGTGAGCGAAAGGAACCAGAACTCACACCCCACCAGCTGGCAAGATACTCATGCCCGACCGACCGGAACCGTACTCAAGATACGACACTGAAGTCCACCAGTCACCGACTCGGTCCACCGAAGTCCGTCAATATTCATCTCTCACATTCCTCTCAACCGAAGGCTGGAAGCTGGACTATAGAGTGTACTCTTGTGCACAAATGTACACCTCATACACAATTGCAGGTTTTGACCATCACATTTCTGCACAAATATTTTTTGTCTGGGTAGAACCAAAACTATCACATTCACTACTGCTTGTCCCGTTATAGCTCTTTTGATTACGTTATTTGACTCGCAAGGTTAACAAAGTTCTGTTACAAGCCGAAATGTGGCAACAAGCAAGTCCCTGTTGCAAACTCAACCTCTCCTACCCCCCTCTCCCCTCTCTCTCCCCCCCCCACCCCCTTCTCCCTCCCCCCAAGTGGGCCTTCTGGCAGTCCCTGTTGCAGCAGGCAGCCAGGCAGACCTGACCGCTTGCAGTTCTGAATAGCCACACTTATTCCCAACCCTTCCCCTTCCCCTTCCCCTTCCCCTCTGCTATCACTTAGGCTGGCACTGCAGCTTATGCACCTTCCAGTGAGCCCTCTGGCAGTCCCTGTCGCAGTAGGCAGCCTGGTTGCACCGGGAGCACGCCTTCAATGGCGGCCTCCCGGGCCTCTCCGCCCTGCCACACCCCGGGAAAGCACAGCAACGCACCCCCCCTGCTCCTCCTGATCCTCCTGCGGGTGCTCTTGAATCCGACGCAGCAGGGGCAGCAGCAGATGAGCCTGCCCCAGGTGTCACCCCGACCCTCCGCCCGTCTGAGAGCTCCCAGTAGCACGTCTCCCCCAGCAGCATCTCCCGCAGGCATGCAAACGGGTTCACTCCCCCCACCCACGGCACCAGGTACGCGGGCGCGATTTTCAACCCGCCTCCCACTGCACTCTCACTTCCCGAAGCAGCAGCAGCAGCAGCACTACCAGCGCTACCATCAGTAGCAGCAGCAGCAACCATTCTATCCACCAAAGCCCGCTCCTTCCCCCGACTAATCTCCTCACACTCCCTCTCCTTCCGCCTCATCCCCGCACAACAATCCCTCACCCTCTCCTCCTCCCCAATTGCCGCCCAGCTATGCGGCGCCTCATACATCAGCTCCACCACAGGCCACGCCCTAAACGCCGCGTTCCGCCAGCTGTCCACCTCCTCCCACACCAGCCACTCCTCCTTCCCATCCCACCCGTTCCACTCCACCTGTCTCAACTCCTCTTCACTCCTCGCCACCCCGTCTCCTCTAGTCAGCTCCATGATATCCTTCACGACGCCCTCTCGGGAGAGAAGGATGGATGCAGAGTAGAGGAAGTGCAGGCGCTTGTGCTCCAACACGCCTTCGAGAAGAGGAGCCACGAGGCGGTCTGGAACGAGGTCCGGGACGGGTGGGATTCCGAGCGTGTCCAGAAGCTCTTTCATCTGAGGGGGGTGTTTGTGGGCGGTGGAGGGTGAGAGGGGGAGAAGGGAGAAGGACAGAGCAGACGGGCAGAAGAACATGATTTTTCTCAAGGTGCCTTGTGTGTAGAGGAAGTGCAGGCGCTTGTGCCCAACTACGCCTTCAAGAAGAGAAGCCACGAGGCGGTCCGGGACCAGGTCCGGCAGGGGCGGGATCCCGAGCGTGTCTAGGAGCTCTTTCATCTGAAGGGGTGAGTGTGGGCGGTGGAGGGAGAACAGAGAAGAAGGACAGAGGAGAAGGACAGAGGAGAAGGCGAGAGGAGAAGGCGAGAGGAGAAGGAGAGAGGAGAAGGAAATATGAGAAAGGACAGAGGAGAATGAAAGATGAGAAGGACAGAGGAGAATGAAAGATGAGAAGGAGAGAGGAGAATGAAAGATGAGGAGGAGAGAGGAGAATGAAAGATGAGAAGGAGAGAGGAGAATGAAAGATGAGAAGGGGAGAGGAGAATGAAAGATGAGAAGGAGAGAGGAGAATGAAAGATGAGAAGGAGAGAGGAGAAAGAAAGATGAGAAGGAGAGAGGAGAATGAAAGATGAGAAGGAGAGAGGAGGATGAAAGATGAGAAGGAGAGAGGAGGATGAAAGATGAGAAGGAGAGAGGAGAATGAAAGATGAGAAGGAGAGAGGAGAATGAAGGATGAGAAGGAGAGAGGAGAATGAAATATGAGAAGGAGAGAGGAGAATGAAGGATGAGAAGGAGAGAGAGGAGAATGAAGGATGAGAAGGATAGAGGAGAAGGAGAGAGGAGAAGGATAGAGGAGAAGGAGAGAGGAGAAGGATAGAGGAGAAGGATAGAGGAGAAGGATAGAGGAGAAGGATAGAGGAGAAGGACAGAGGAGAAGGATACATCGAAGGGCCTACGAGGACTCTCACCTGAGGGGAGCGTGGGTGGTAGAGAACGAGCATGCAGCGGAGCAGCAAGGACGAAGGGCATTCTATCCAACGTTCATGAATTATCAGTCACCGTTATTAAAGATCCAAAGGGTCTAGGAGGCACCTCTATCTGAAGAGAACTCTAGGAGAACTCTCACCTGAGGGGAGCGCGGGCGGTAGAGAGAGAGCACGGAGCGGAGGAGCACAGACGAGGGGCACTAACAGGAAGAGTTTCAAGTTGCTTTACACACATCGAAGGGCCTAGGAGGTATCTCACCTGAGGGGAGCGTGGGCGGTAGAGAGAGAGCATGCAGCGGAGGACCACCGAGGAGGGGCGGAAGGCGAACGAGGCAACAAGGGCGGCGGGGGTAACGGCCTGGTTGAACATGTTAAAGCACATGTGGCAGCAGTTGCAGGCGGGCGTCAGGTTCGTCGTTTCAACCATGAACTCAACAAAAGCGTCCACCTCCTGAGCGGATCTCAGCATGGGCTTTAACTTGCCCGGGGAATACGCCCCCAGGGCCAGCGCCGCCCAGCTCATATCCCTCCTCGCTCCTTCTCCCCCCCTGCTGCTGCTGTCACTGCTGCTGCTAGTCTCTGCCCCCACCAGGTGGAGTCGCAGCACCCAGTCGGTGATTGCTCGGGTCAGCGGTCCCCCACGCCCCTCCTTCGCCTGCCGCTTCGGCGAGAACCTTCTCAGAAACTCCTTGACCCGGTCTGCGAGGGTCGGGAACGCGGGAGAGAGCGTGCTGCTGTCACTCAGAGCCTTGGCAGCTCCATACTCCTGCACGTTCTCTACTGGGCTCGTGGCAATCCCCCTCTCCTGCAGACACTTGGCTGATCCAATGTTGAATTCTTTCAGCATCTCATCTCGGTCGAACACAGAGTCCCGGAAGCTGCCTATTTGAAAGGTATTCAATCCCAAGAACTCACCCCCTTCTCCCCCTGCCCCCACTCCCCCTGCCCCAACCGGGACTCCACATGCACGTTCATGTGCCTTCAGCGTCCCTCTGTTCCCCGCTGGAAATTCCTCCCACCCCGGAACACAACTAGTGGCTGAGCCTTCCGCACTTGCCGCGCCCACAGGCTTGGGAACAGCACCGAACCTGACCAGGAGGCTCGGGAGGTCATGCACTGGGTGCGGGAGCGCCAGGGCTGGGGCTTCCGGGTTGGTGCGGGTGCAGTAGCTGGGGGGGTTGAGCCTGGGGCCGTGCACTCGCACCCATTGAAGGAGGCAGGCGGCACGGTACGTGAAGAGTGCCACTTCTGGGTCACTTATGACTGGCATGAGACGAGAATTAGCAGCAGTGCTAGCAGCAGTAGTGCCGGCACCACCAGTAGTGCTAGCAGCTCCTGCTACGGCTCCTCCCGCCCCTGTCCTTTCGCCTTCCCCTCTGTTCCTCTCCCCCCCACCCTCCTGCTCTCCATGCCCCTCTGTCGGCTTCTGCCCTGCTGCCCCCTCTCCCCTTCTGCCCTCTCTGCGAGCCGTTGCCTGGCTACCTCCACAGCAGCGTCCTCCACGTGCTCCTTGTACCTGTTATTGCATGCATCGGTAAACGCCTGCACGCCATAGACCGCAGCGCGCGGCACACAGAGCGTCAGGGCGGCCCAGAGAGCAAAGTCAGTCGGGTCAACGCCAGTTATGACCATGCCACTGCCCGCACCACCACCACTGCCAGCAACACCACCACTGCCAGCAGCACCAGTACCAGCACCACTAGCAGCAGCCGTGCCATTGCCTTGATGCCTGCTGCCCCCATCCTCACTCCCCCATGCATCCTCGTTTTCTTCGCACTGCCTGCAGCTGCACCGGTACTGTTCAGCCTCCAGCCCTCCATGGGAGATAATCTTCCCCACACGCTCCACATACTCATCCCACTCCACCCCTCTCAACCCCTCCCTCCACTCCTCTCCCCCTTCCACCCAGCCAATCCCTCCTCCTACTCCCCCTCCTCTCCCCGCCCCCCCTCGCATACCTCCGTGCGCCCGTCTTCCCCCTGGCAGCAACGGCAGCACATGAGCAGCAAAGCCCGACCCCAGTTCCTTCTTTCCTTTCACTCCAAGCACCTGCACCAGGATCGATCCAAAGCAATCCTCCTCCGCTTCCCCACCCACCTGCCTTTCTCCCCCCTTCCCCGCCTGCCTACTCGCCTGCTGTTCCGCCTGCCTGCCCCCCACCCCCCCGACATGCCTCCCCGCGTTCAGCTGATTCACCAGAGTTGGGAAGGCCACGTAGCAGAACTTCATGTGCAGGCGCCACAGTGTGACTATACGGGGAAGCCTCGCTACAAGCACGAGGAAAACGACAACAGAGAGGCAGCGGCGGTAGGCGGTCCAACACGCGCTGCACTGCCAGCAGCACCACCAGAAGTGCTTGGGAGCACCGCCACCGGCTGTAGCACCACCACCGGCTGTAGCACCACCACTTGCTGCTACCAGATCGTGAATTTTCATCATATCTGCCAGCTGGCATCTGACCACATCCAGGTCCAACAGCAGCCCGACACGTGGCTCTGCCATCCACTCAAGAAACATCCCCTCGGCCGCGGGCATGGGCGCAATATCCGCCTTCCACTTGAACTGCACAGCAGGAGGCCCTGAGGAAATGTCAACCCTAGAAGCACGAGCAGCAGCCGCGGCAAGCGCAGTGCGCCCGCTCCCCCCGCGCCCCACACCCGGGCCCATGGTAGCCCAGAGGCTCTGCACTCTAACCGTGGCGGAATATGCAAGGATGGCTTGGGACGGCCGGTTGTTGCTGGCTGGGCACGGCTTGATGCTCCCATCCACCGGCTGTTGCAGGTGCAGGCGGAGGGCGTTGGGGGTGGAGGTTTGGTAGGTGGTGGGGGGGGCGGGGTGGAGGATGCGCGAGAGGCAGCAGGCGCAGAGGGAGTGGTTCCAGGGGAGGTTGACATCCACGTGGTGCACCATGTGCAGGCGGGAGATCGGTTTGTAGTCTAGCGGGCTCGTGATACTGGGTCGGATGCGACGGCTGCTGCTGCCGCGCCTGCTGGTGTTGGTGATGGTGTTGCTGTTGCCGCCATTCGTGGCAGGGGTCGGGGCCGGTGGAGCGGAGACAGACGCGGCGATAGGCGCAGAGGCATGCGCGGAGGCGGGAGCAGAAGCAGGCGCAGCGACGGGTGAAACGATAGGCCAAGGGAGAGGGGAGGGCATAGAAGTAGCTACAGGCGTAGCAGCGGGAGGAGGTGCGGATACAAGGTTGACCGGAGCACACACAGTGGCCATGGCTGGTGTGTCATTCGCAGCACCGCTGTTGCTGCTGCTGCTCGCAGAAGTACCCGCCGAGTTTGGTTTTTCCTTCTCCCCCGCATTCCTCGATTTTACCGTAAGCACTTTGAGCACTGCACCCGCTTTAAGCTTGGCCTTTTCCGCTGATGCTTCAGGCAATAGGTACACCACTTGCCCGACAGCCATAAACCGAACAGCCTGCTTCTCTTCTTCTGTCGGATACTTTTGGTCGGCCTTATTCACGTCATCCTGCTGCTGACGTGTCTGCTGACTCGGCAGGCAGCAGTGCGGGAGGTGGGATTGAAACAGCCTGTTGAACGCCGATTGGAGTGGCTCCTGCGGATCAACGGACACGGGATAATCCACGTGGGAAGAAGCTACTGGCTGCGTATTGGTACTGCCGCTACTGTTGCTTGTGGTGGTAATGCTGCTGGTATTGATGCCGCTGGGTAAGGAAGTGGCGTCGCCATTGCTACAAGTGTTTCTAAGCAAAGTGGCCGGCACCCTAAACCGAATCGTGAACTCCATGATACAAAGCAATGCTCAAGCACCGGGCAGAGCTGGTGTACATAGCAAGACTCCTCCGATTCGCTCTCCTTGTTTCTGTTTTTCAACTAGACTTTACGACTCTAAATCGAATCGTGGACTCCATGATACAAGGCATTGCTCAAGCATCAGGCTCAAGCCACCAAGTAACCGGGTAGCAAGAAACCAAGCCACTCTTTTCCGTTTCCATCAGCAGTTAAGGTAGGAATTTTGTATCGCACTCAGGACATTCATCAATTCGGAGCGAGTGGGAGATGTGGAAAGATACGAATGCTACTGCAACCAAGTAGAACTAGCGAGACCCAGAAGCGATGCTCGTCCTATCAGTCGTTGTGTTGATGATCACATTCAGCATGAAAGGCGGGCTGAAACAAGGCTACGGCACGCAACCACGTTAGGCGAGGTTGGCCGAGCCTGCCAAGGCGAAGGTGGCGCCGTAGCTAGAAGAAGAGAGGAAGAGTAATCGCAGCAGAATAGAGAAGAAGCTAGGCTAGTGAGAGATGCCTAACTCTGGAGTCTTAGATGAGAGATGAAGAAGTAGAAAGTAGATTCCAGAATTAAGGATGATACAACAAGAACTAGGAAAAGATATTTATGCTAGGAAGAGAGATGGCGACTTGGGAGGAAAACCGCATCGCCACTCAATCTAGCATGGCATCTTGGCATAGCGCCTCGATGCCATGCCCTGCTGTACTATTCTTCCTGACAGGGATACGGGAGTACGTTCTAGGCTAGCAAGTGGTGCAGTTCGTAGGTAGCTAGGCAAGGACCCGTTCAGAAATTCCCATGCATCTCGCATGGTGAATTCCATCCTGTTACACGGGCCCACTGCGCAATGCGGAAAACTTAGTTCGTTGTTGTCTATGGAAGAAATGTAGCGACTCACTGATGCTGTGAACCAAGGCAAAGAATCGGCATTCAGGAACCGAACTGATGAGAGCGGAATGGAGATCTCGTTGAAGAGAGAGATTTGGCGGGAAAAGGACGAATTCGTGTCTTTGAAGGTTCCAAATTCTCAAGTGGGGATGGGATGGTGTTGTAGACCCCCTTGGAGTTGGGAAAAGATCAGAAAGGGGCCCCGGAGTAGCAGTAAAGTGGCCGACTTGGGGCCTCGTCAGTCGCGCCCCTACTACGTACCCCCAAAGCAACCAGCACACCTAGGCAGGTAGGCCGAGCCTGGCCTTTTCGCCAGGTCACCACCTACTGGCCTGGGGCTGACGGAATTCGCTAGTGAGTCGTCATCGTAAATTACCCAGAAAAACATTCGTTTAACCCAGAAAAAACAACATTGCTATGGTACAAAATATAAACCCCATTCGTTTGGCATATATTTGGGGAAGCATAAGCCCTAAACACCGTGCGGCAAGATGTTTAGGGCTGAGGCCCTAAACACCCTATATTTGCCGAGCTGTGTCAGTGAGAAATGCGTGAGAGAGGTAGTCAACAGCAGGAAGGAAGGGGAGAGCTTGCTTGTGCACCATTTAATATCGTATTACACTCCTGCAAGCTATCGTACATTCCATTCTCATCCAGTGGGAACATTTCAGACAGGGATGTTTCATTTCTACTTTGTGCTTCTTAGTCTATCAAGTGCATTGGCTTTTGAAGTCTCAAAATGCTATTCATGACAAGGGCAACATGTTTCCGAATGTCCATCATATCCGCAATTGCTGCAATGGGGAAATATACCGTCATCGCTCGGATATACGACAGTGTTGAATAGTAGACAGGGGTTGTCTACTATACGGGTGCTTCTTATAAACAGGCTAGCCTTTTTATACGACACCTATTTGTGTGTACGAGATAAGACATATATGTCTAATAATCAGAACCAGGGTTTAGGGGTTTTCTTATAAACAGGGGGTGTCTTCTAAACGAGCCTTCCTTACTTTGGGGGGGTACATGCATACAGTCATGAATCTCTACTTCTACCTAACCCCCCTCAGTCACCGCCTCATCACCTGCACTAACAACAGGCTCTACACCCAGGTCTTGCACTCGCCAGGCATGCCTAGCCATCTCCCTAGGCTCGATCATGCGGTCAGCCTCGGCCGCCGCTCCGCGGTAGTTGGGGGTCTCCTGGTACAGCACCTCCAGGCCGGTTGCCACGGCCACCTCCCGCACGCCCTCCGTCTGCATCACCTCCTCCTCCTCCTCCTCCTCCTCCTCCTCCTCCTCCTCCTCCTCCTCCTCCTCCTCCTCCTCCTCCTCCTCCTCCTCTGGAGCCCGACCGAGCAGGCGCGTGTTCTCGCCTGTGATCCCCCCGAGGGACATGTCCGCGGAGACATCGGTGGTGCTCCTGGCGCGCAGGTGAGACATCACCAGGTGGTTCTCCGTTCCGTCCAGCTTGCTCGAGATCCCATAGTGGCGGAACGTGTCGATGATGATCTGCTTGGGGACTTGATCCCAAGCCTCCGCGATCCACTGCAGCACCACGGGGTGTGGAGGTCTCCGCAGCTTCCCTGCGGATGGGACAGAGGACGGGGCAGCGAGATATTAGAGACACGGATATGAAGGGGCATGTTTAAGACAAGGACACGGATAAAACCGTAAATGAAGGACCAACTCACCCTTCTTCGTCTTCAGGTGAATCCCTTCACGCATGAACCACCTTGCGTAGCGCGCTCGCACAGCAGCCTTGAAGCACCGGTTGATGGAGACGTCCAGGGGTTGAATCTGGCTCGTACAACTCGCTGGGATGACTGCAGGGGTGATGCTGTGCGTGCGGTACGACTGAATCATGGTCTGGGTGATGTGACCGCGGTAGGAGTCCAACACCAGCATCGCCCGCCTTGCGTTCTGGCCGCGCTGGGGGTTCAGATGGGGCAGCACCTCCTTGGTCAGCCAAGTCTGCACAGCGCTCTCGTCCATCCACCCGTTGTCCTGTGCTTGGACCACGATTCATGCCAGGCACACAAGGGACAGACGGGCATCAGCACAGTGGGGCACGCTCATCAGGCAGTCGCACGGTTGAATTCATTACGCTTACCTTCCGAAATCTCACAGCTGGGGACGTTCTTCATCTTGAACCACACCCACGGCCGCAGCTTCTCCCCGGATGCAGTGCACACGAGCATCACCGTCAAACGCGTCTTCTGGTAGCCTGCAGTGCGGATTGGGACCGAGCGCGCGCCACGGTGCTCGATCGTCCGTTCGGCTGGCATCTTCACGAATAGTGGAGTCTGGTCCGCGTTGATGATGCGGGCCAGGTCGATGTTGTGCGGCGCCCTGTTGATGCGCACGAACTTCCAGAAGGACTCGCAGTCCTTCGCGCACTCTGCAAACGGGACAAGCGCAACGGAAGCACGGGATGGTTAGACACTGGGTGAGGTACATGCATTCAATAGAGCGCCAGACAAAATCCTTCAATACCCACCTGCCGACAGACGTTGGCCGACCTTGGTCTTCACCCGCATCACCAGGTTCCAGCGGTCACGGAAACGCTAGCTCCAGTGAGAGCTCGCGTTCCAGTTCTTGGCGGGGTAATGCTTCTTCATCCACTCGCGGCTCCACTTCTAGGTGTCCTTCACCGAGATGGCCACCCCGTTAGCGCGCTGAAGGCAGATGTAGCGGTACAATGCTGCCTCCATGTCGGGGTAGTGTGAGTGGCGCCCCCCCCGTGCATCCGCTTGCGGCAGTTAGCTGCGCCCTTATAGACGCCCGCTTCCGCCTCCGCACACCAGCGTCTGATGCAGGCGATGGACGCGGTTGACTCCACGCTCGTCTTCTTCAAGGAGCCGAGCTCCTGATAGCGGCGCGCCCACTTAAGCTTCTCACGCACAGTCCAACTGCGGCGCTTCTTCGTAGTGTCTTTGCTGCGAGGGGAAGGTGGGCGGGTGTTGGGATTATGGAGGGTGGGGTCCTTCGGCGTGACCTTCTCAAGGAACGTGGGAATCGGGCCCGCCGCCGCCGCGTACTCATCGTCGCTGCCCAACCTCTCGTTCACGACGATGTCGTCAGGATTTGGCGCCTTCTTCGCCTTCTTCTTAGCTGCACCCTTGCTGCATCCCGGGTCTCCGTCGGATGTCCGCTTCTTGTTGCTTGTGCGGCGACGAGCAGGGGCCTTAGCAGGGGCCTTAGCAGGGGCTTCCGCGACCTTGGCTTTCCTCTTCTCCGCAGCGGTGAGTATCGGGCGACGCTCCTCCCCCGGACCGTTGTCGTCAGAGAGCACCACGCAGGCCCGCTTCGACTTGGACTGTAGGCGATGGCGCAACCTCCGCTTCAGTAGCGGAATGTCGTCGTCGGTCCCAAGGCTCCATGGGTCGTCGTCGCCGCCTTCCTCGTCAAATAAGACGGCATCCGCAGCAACCTTGTCCGACTCCGCCACAGCATCCGCATCCGCAATTGCGGCCGCATCCGCAGGCGCAATTGTCTCAAGTTCCGCCCCCGCCTCGTCGTCAGCCACCTCATTCGCATCCACCGCCGCTTCCTGTGCATCCGCCGCTGCCTCCGCGTTGTCACCATGCGCATCTTCACCTCCGTCGTTGTCGGAATCACCAGCCCGCCACTCTTCCACCTCGTCGTCGCTCCCGACCGGCCGATTCCACCATTCGTCCTCCTCGATGTCGGCAGGACCTAATTCGTCGCCCGAAGCGCTGTCGTCGTGGCCGTTCTCCGGCCAATCCTCCTCGGCGTCGTCGCCGTTTGCTTCGTCTCCGTCGTCCCCGTCACAGCTCGCACTGGAGGCGGCGGTAGGACTTCCCGCCTTGCTCGCGTTCTTCGCCATGGCTACACGGATGTCATCGCTGGGCGAGTCGATTCGCCCGTAGTTATTCACCTGCACGTGAGGACGAGGGGAGGACTTGCCTACTGGTACTTTGCTGCGCATGGTTAGAGAGCCTGCCGAGAGCAAGGTTGAGACGAGTATTCAACCTCCTTGAGCCCGAAATGAAGTGAGAGCCCGACTACCCCCCCAGCCAGAGTGCCCCATCCACACGTGTTGAGCCGCTCCTCTACGAGGCATCTCTTCGTAGAGGACAGCCCTCATGCTGCCAACGTGCTGCCAGCAGCGTTCTGGAAGCATCCCTGCGCTGCTGGCAGCAAAACGACGCTGGCAACATCATTAGATGCTGCCAGCACAGAGGAATGTTGCCAGCGGTGGCAGCTCTCTCACGTGGCAAGTGTGGGCGCTGCATGCATCACCCCCGAGGTCGGCCTGTTTCAATGAATCTGGTCCTTGGGTGGTCTCTACACACTTTGCAAGTGTTACAGCCAACTTAAATTTTTTTCCATTTATAAGACTTTACAAGATAAATCATCCCGTTTACAAGATAAATCAAGCATTTTTGCCCCTGTACGAGACAAGACATATATGTCTTATATCCGGGCGATGACGGTAGTATTCTCCCCTTGAAGTTGATGCTATTCGGGTTCACAAAGCAATGAGCCTCTTCATACCCTTTCTTCCCACAATACAAGCAGAGTCCATGTCGTTTCTCCCTTGCTGCTGATGCATTCTACATCAATGGCTTGCCATTATGCGAACGCCTAACTGCTTCTTCCCTGCTTTTGCTATAAGCTTCCATGGTTTCTAAATCTTGAAATTTCACCATCAGCTCGCCCAAACTCGTCGGCGAGTTGCAAGTAAGGACAATCCTCACAGTCTCCCACTCCTCCCTTCCCCCTCCCGTCCTGACCTGTCCTCTGGCAGCATAGAGCACCATCCACATTTCTGTTTCGCCACACGTGTTCAACCCATCTCCTTCCCCATCCTACCCCTTGCGCTGGCACCTTGTGCACCTTCCAATGGGCGAGCTGGCAGTCCCTGTCACAGCAGGCAGCTTGGCTGCACCGCAAGCAAGCGCGCAACAGTTCAGAATGCTTCCCCAGCATTCTGGCCGCCTGGCTATCATTTGGGCTGACACTGCAGCTTGTGCACCTTCCAGTGGGCCTCCTAGCACTCCCTGCCACAGTTAGCAGCCTGGCCGCACCGCGAGCAAGCCTTCAATGGCGGCCTCCCCGGCCCCTCTGCCCTGCCACAACCCGGGAAGGCACAGAAACGCACCCCCCCTGCTGCCCCTGCTCCTCCCCCTGTTGCTTCTGCTGCTCTTGTGCCTGATGCGGCAGCAGCAGAAGAGTCTGCCCCAGGTATCACCCCAACCCTCCGCCCGTTTGAGAGCTCCCAGTAGCACGTCTCCCCCAGCAGCATCTCCCGCAGGCATGCAAACGGGTTCACCCCCCCCACCCACGGTACTAGGTACGCAGGCGCGATTTTCAGCCCGCCTCCCACCTCACTCTCACCCCCAGCAGCAGCGGGACCAGCTGTACTAGCAGCAGCAGCATGCATCTTATCCACTAGAACCCTCTCCTTCCACCTACTGATCTTCTCAAACTCCCTCTCCTTCTGCCTGATCTCCACACACCATTCCCTCACCCTCTCCTCCTCCCCAGACCACGCCCAGCTTAGCGCTGCCTCACGTGAAAGCTCAAAGACAGGCCACGATCTGAACAGCGCGTTGCGCCACGTGTCCACCTCCTCCCGGATCAGCCACTCCTCCTTCCCCTCCCACCCGCTCCCCTCCAACTCCCTCAGCTCCTCTTCCGTCCTCAGCGCCCCATCTGTTTTGCTCATCTCCATGTGTTGCATCTCGCCGTTGTTCCAGTACAGAAGCATGGATGCGGTGTAGAGGAAGTGCAGGCGCTTGTGCTCCACCACGCCTTCGAGAAGAGGAGCCACGAGCCGGTCCGGCAGCAGGTCCGGCAAGGGGGGGATCCCAAGCGTGTCCAGGAGCTCCCTCCTCTGAGGGGGGTGTGGGCATAGGGAGCGAGTGAGGTAGAGCAAGAGGGTGCAGTGTAGAAGCACCAAAGGAGGGACATTTAACAAAGCTTTCATGGCTTATTCATCATACTACAAAACAAACAGACGGCGTACCAGTTATGGTCTAGGGGAACTCTCACCTGAAGGATGTGCGCGCAATAGAGAGCGAGAGGATGCAGGGGAGAAGAACCAACGAGGGACATTTGATCAAACTTGATGACTCATCTATCGAAATACGAAACACCAGGATAGCGTACCAGCCATATCTCTATCTGTATAGGGGCACTCTCACTTGAGGGGAGTGCTGGCAGTAGAGTGAGAGGAAGCAGCACAGGAGCACCGACGAGGGACACCCTATCTAGCTTGATGGCTTATCCGTTATACTACAAAACACCCCGGTGGTGCACCACCAGCCATCGCCCTCCTTAACTGTCCGGGAGAAAATTCAGCTCGTTACAATGGCTCCAACCTGGGGCTCCATTACACCCAGGTGGTGTACCACCAGCCATCGCCCTCCTTAACTGTCCGGGAGACAAGTCAGCTCGTTACAATGGCTCCAACCTGGGGCTCCATTACACCCAGGTGGTGTACCACCAGCCATCGCCGTCTCCAACTGTCAATCTAGCTTTATGGCTGTCATCTCTAACAGTCAATCTAGCTCTCTAGCTGTCAATCCATCGTCTTACAAAACACTCAGGTGGTGCACCACCAGCCATCGCACTCTCCAACTGTCTTTCTAGCTTTATGGCTGTCATCTCTAACTGTCAATCTAGCTCTCTAGCTGTCAATCCTTCGTCTTACAAAACCCTCAGGTGGTGCACCACCACCCATCGCCCTCTTTAACCGTCTGGGAGAACTCTCACCTGAGAGGAGTGCTGGCAGTAGACTGAGAGGAAGCAGCGCAGGAGCACCGACGATGGACATTCTATCTAGCTTGATGGCTTATCTGATATATTACAAAATGTCAAGGTGAGAGAGGAATGATGTCGACTAGTTTGGGGCATGGGGTACAAAAGTGACGAGAGAAAAGTTGTACCCCCTAAGAAACACCCCTACAAAACCTAAACCTAAATTATATAGATCATATAATTTGACACACCCCCATAGGTGAAGTAGGGGGATAGCCAAACCTAACAAGGGTCACAAGACCAGTTCACATGCAGGTTTATAACACAGCAAGAGATACAGTGATCACATCCTAGCAAAAGTAAACATGCAGGCATATATATATATATATATAGTGATCACAGTACAAGCAGGGTCAAGAAGTAAGCAAGTGAGGTCCAGTAGGTACAAGGCCTAGCAGAGTGCAAAAGCGCTGATGGTCAACAGGCGGAAGCGCCTTGGTGAACACATCAGCAGTGTTGGCCTCAGTGGCCACGTAACGCAGACAAAGCTGACCACGCTGCTGCAGCTCTCGAGCAAGAAAGTACCGCAGAGCAATGTGCTTCGTTCTGTGCTCCAGTCTGTGCTCCTGACACAAGGCAATGGCAGCCTTGTTGTCGACGTACAACACTGGAGGAGAACCAGGCCGCTCTCCAAGGTCGGTCAGCAGGTAGGTCAGCCAGCGTAGCTCCTGGGCAGCCATGGCTGTGGCGTAGATCTCAGCCTCACAACTGGAGCTGAGAACAGAAGAAGAGCGTGTAGAACGCCAGGAAACTGAGCCTGAGCCAAGGCTGAAGGTGTAACCCTGTGACGACCGCTGAGTAGCCTGGTCGTCTGCCCAAGAAGCGTCTGAGTGCCCTGTGAGAACAGGCCGGTCTCGCCCTCCAAGCACTAGCCCCATGCCCGACGTACTGCACAAGTAGCGCAACACCCTCTTAGCTGCATCCATGTGCTCCTTCCGGTGACGGCCAGGAGCGACATAGCGTGCAAGGATGCTAAGAGGGTATGCAAGGTCAGGTCGAGTGCAGGTCATCAGGTACATGAGGCAACCCACAAGCTCTGGATACGGGCCACTCGGCTCTACGGACTCATCCGAAGGCAGAGCTGAGAGCGAGTGTCCCGTAGGCAGAGGAGTGGGCTGAGGCGAGGAGTACGTGAAGCGGAAGCGCTGAAGGACCTGCTGCACCATGTGTGACTGAGTCAGGGTGATGGTGCGCCGTGCTCTGTCCCGGGTGATCCGCAAGCCAAGGTAGCTTGTCAGTTCACCCAGGTCTGTGCACGTGTGTCTCTTCTGCAGCTCCAACTTCACGTGGGCGAGACCAGCTCTGTCCGCTGTGGCAAAGACCAAGTCGTCGACGTACACGAGAATGTAGAACGGCGGCAGCGAGGTGTCGGTGCGTAGAAACAGCGACGGGTCAGCAGTAGAGGGAGCAAACCCAAGAGCCGCAAGTGTCGTGCTCAGTGTGTCGTGCCACTCACGCGGTGCCTGGCGGAGACCGTAGACCGGCCGCTGAAGCCTCCACTGGGTGCCAGGGGGAACCGACCCAGTGAAGCCAGGAGGGCGGCGCAGCCAGATCTCCTCGTGCAGGCTGCCCTGCAAGAAAGCTGTGCTGAAGTCAAGAGAGTGAAGCTCGTAGTCGCGCTGAGCGGCTATGTGCAGCAGCACCCGAAGAGTAGTCATCTTCGGGGTGGGGGAGAAGGTCTGAAAGAAGTCGACTCCCTCTCGCTGACTGAAGCCCCTAGCCACGTAGCGCGCCTTGAAGACAGGCGGAGAACCCGGCGGTCGCTTCACCCTGAAAATCCACATGCCACTGACGATGTTCGCCCCAGGAGGGGGAACCTCGTCGACGTAAGTGCCAGTGGACTTCCAGGAAGCCATCTCTGCGTCCATGGCTGTCTGCCACTGAGAGGAGTAGGGACCCGCCATCGCCTCAGTGTAGGAGCGCGGGGTCGGGATGTCTGGTGCATCCGGGTCTCCCTCAGGGGCAACAAGCATGGACACGAGATGAGGCACAGCAGCAGCAAAGCAGTGAAACTCCTCCTGTCTGTCCTCAAGGACGTCCGTGCCAAGAGCACACTCACCCCCGACGGACGGAGGACAGGCAGACTGAGACTCAGCAACTAGGCTAGCAGCGTAGTCCAGGCGACAGCGAGAAGCAAAGTCAACCAGCTCAGCGACCAGAGCAGACGCAGCAGCGGACTCAAAAGACGGGTCAGTGACGATAGTAGCGAGAAAACGTGTGACAGTGGGACTGGCAGCACGACGGGAGTCAGACTCCGGGTCAGGAAGAGTAGGCAGCGAAGACTCAGGAGGAGACGGCAGCGGGACACGCTGCGGAGCAGTGGAGGGACGCAGAGTCATGTAGTGAGTGCCCGGGACAGGAGGAGGACGCTCACGCGGGGCACGACGACCGGTGCGCGCAGTACGGACAGGCGACGCTGGACGTGACTCAGGCGCACGACGCTCAGTAAGACCTCCCGTGGGACCAGTGTAGGGAGAGGGACCAGGGAGAGGGGAGGCGGGCGGTAACTGTGACTGCGACTGGACTGGCGTGAGACCAAGAACCTGCTGAAGGAGCGGGACAAAGTAGGGTCGCGGCCGCGTAGCGGCTCCAGAACCAGTAGAGACAGCAGCGGCGGGGTCCTCAGCACCAGCGACAACGCCAACGTCCGGGTCCGCAGCACCAGCAGCAGCTCCAACGCCCGGGTCCTCAGCACCAGCGACAACGCCAACGTCCGGGTCCTCAGCACCAGCAGCAGCTCCAACACCCGGGTCCTCAGCACCAGCGACAACGCCAACGTCCGGGTCCTCAGCACCAGCGACAACGCCAGTGTCCGGGTCCGCAGCACCAGCAGCAGCTCCAACGCCCGGGTCCGCAGCACCAGTGACAACACCAGCGTCCGGGTCCGCAGCACCAGCAGCAGCTCCAACGCCCGGGTCCTCAGCACCAGCGACAACGCCAACGTCCAGGTCCTCAGCACCAGGGGCACCACTCCGGAGACTGCAGCGCCGCGCGTACCACTCTCGGATCTGCTGAATGGGGGGGAGCTCCTGGGCAGGAGGGGAAGTACTGGGACGAGCTCCAGAAGCTCCGCTCCGGAGGCGACAGTACTGTAGGTACCTCTCCTGCAGCTGCTGGGAGGAGAGAGCTCCTCCAGACGTAGTGCGCTCAGGCTCAACACCCCCAGACGCAGCACCCCCAGTCGCCACACCCCCAGGCTCCGCACCCCCAGGCTCAGTACCCCCAGGCTCCGCACCCCCAGGCTCGGGACTGTCAGGCTCCGCACTCTCAGGCTCAGCACCTCTGGCAGGGCGGGACTCGACAGCTATCTCAACAGGGTCAACCGGGTCTACCTGGGACACACCTGAGGGAGCGGCACCCTGAGGGGGGAGGGGGTCTACCACAGCAGCACCTGGTGCGAGGAAGAGCGGCGGTGGGGGGAGTGGGGCAGTGCGGTAGGGGAAGAGGCGGTAGAAGGGGACAGACTCGTCAAAAGTGACGTCCTGAGAGGCCAGAACCCGGCGCGAGGCGACGTGGTAAAACTGCCAGCCAGGCGCGTCGGGGACAAAGCCAAGAAAGACACAGGGAACAGCGCGACGCGAGATCTTGTCCGCAGACGTATCGCGGACAAAGGCTCGGGATCCCCACACCCGGAAACGCGACGCATCACCAACCTCTCCCGTCCACCGCAGAGTCGGGGAAGTCTCCGGGAAGGAGACACGGGGCCAGAGGTTGAGCTGATGCGCTGCGTAACGGACCGCAAACGGCCACAGAAAGTGGGGAGCAGCCGCATGGGTCAGGGAGGTACGAGCGACCTCCATGACCAAGCCAATGCGGCGCTCAGCGACCCCATTCTGCTGTGGAGAGGCCGGAAGCGTGAACGACTGCTCGATGCCGTGCTCAGCACAGTAGGCTGCCAAGAGTTCGGAGGCGAACTCACCACCTCTGTCAGAGTGCAGGCGTAGGACTGGAAAGTCCGAGCGAAAGCGCTTGCCTAGCTGGAGACGGGCTCGGCTGATCCAGGGGATCAAGACATCAGGGACGTCACCCTTGCTGCGCAAGGGGAAGACCGTGGTGTAGCGCGAGTAGTCGTCAACAACTATCAGGAAGTACCGCTCCTGACCCTGACCACGGACGCGGGCTGGGCCCCACACGTCCATGTGTAGCGTCTGCAAAGGAGCAGTCGTCGGGGGGAAGGAGGAGGAGTGGGGAGCGGCGCGCTGCCGCCCCTCAACACAGGGAATGCAGTCGGGAGCAGGTGAGGGGGGGAGGGGAGGGAGAACCCGAGGGAGACCAGAGACAAGCTGCCGCTTGTGCATGGCACGAAGGCGCTGCACAGACGGGTGGCCAAGTCGGTGGTGCCAGAGGACAGTGTCGTGCGCCAGAGAGCGACACGAGCAGGGGGCGGACAGCTGACCTGACGCCGACGCAGACGCGGACGCAGCTACCTGAGGGGACTCAGTGGTCAGTGTGTACAGGTCCGACCCCGGCTCCCGAGTAAAGGTAGCCAGGTGGCGACCCGTCCGGGCACACGTGCAGTGGGTCACTCGCTCGTAGGCAGGGGTGGTCTGGTGAACACCCCCATCCTGTAGCTCACATCCTGCCACCAAGTTCGTAGAGAACGAGGGGAGGTAGAGACCCGACAGCGTGCCGGACGGGACTGCAGGACAAGGGAGGACAGTGGAGTGAGTCGCAACGACTGGACCCCCAGTGGGGTCAGCTAGCGAGACTGCAACCGGCCGAGCAAGAGGCTCAAGGACAGTGCGGTCACGAAAGAAGGAGCGGGAAGCACCTGAGTCAAGAGTGAAGGTGTGGAGTGCGGCGGTCGGCTCAGTACCAGGGGCGACTGGGGCTATAGCACCTAGGGCAGTAGCCTCACCAGGACCTGGGGCAGCAGACACACTAGTACCTAGGGCAGCAGCCTCACCAGGACCTGGGGCAGCAGACACACTAGTACCTAGGGCAGCAGCCTCACTAGCACCTAGAGCAGCAGCCTCACCAGAACCTGGGACAGCAGTCTCACAAGTACTGAGAGCGGGAGCCTGACAAGTCACAATGCCCGGGTCGGGCGGAACACGCAGGTACTGAGCACTCTCTCCACTAATAGACATCGCATACATGGCAGTGAGAATAGCGTCAAAGTCTAAAGCCCAAATATCAACACCCTTCCTTTCCAGCTCAGGCCAGTGGGGCAGCTCAGCACCCCCAGGAAACTGGGCGCGCCACGCGTCAGTAAGGTGCTGGTAGCAGCGCTGCGTGGGGTGCGGCCTCCCACACGGCAGGCCCTTGCGGTCACCAGTGCGGTGGACGTACGTGCAAGTGGAACCACGCTGTGCGTACCACTCACGGGCGGCCTGGAGGGTCGGGGCGTGCTGCTGACCCTGGCCACCACCAGCGTCTCCACGACCACCACCGCCACCGCCACCGCCTCGGCCACCTCCACCCCTGCCGCGACCACGACCACCACCGCCGCCGCTACTACCGCCGCTGCCGCCACTACTCCCGCCGCCGCTGTCACCACCCCCACTGCCACCACCAGTGTCTCCAGACCCACCGCCACCCCCACTGCCGCCACCCCCACCGCCACCCTTGCCCCCCCTGCTCTTGCGACGCCCGCTCGAGGCAGACGCAGCCCCGACCTTCTCAGCACCAAGGAGGTCGACAGCAGCAGCAGTGGCGACAGAGGGGAGAAGGGGGGAAGGGGAACACCCCTCAAAGAAGGGGTGGCGGGGCTCGCCACGAGAGGCACCTACGGCGACGATGCTCGCCTCAGCTGCAAGTAGATCCTTCTCAAGGATGGCGATGGTGAGCTCAGTAGGGGAGCGAGCAAGAAGAGAGTCCCTGACTGCGCGCAGTGAGTCAGGGAGGCGGGTGACAATGTGGTAGAGCGTGAGCCAGAGCGGTGGGGGGTTGCTGGCGAGGAACTCGGCAGGCATAGCAGCGCGAAAGCGGGCCTCACTGGTCTTAAGGTGAGTAATGAGATCGGCAACGGTCTGAAAAGAGGCCAGGTCAGGGAAGAGGTAGGGTAGGGTGAGGCGGCCTAGGGTGGCAGACGCAGGCGAGGAGTAGCGGGCAACGACGGCTGTGTACAGGTCCTGAGCAGTCTTGCACTGGCCGAAGTGCTCGCGCTCATCTAGCGGTAGCGAGTTGCGGATAGCAAAGCGAGCATGCGCGTCGCGGGTCTGCCACTGGGAGCGTAGCGTGCTGGCAGCAGAGGAGTCAGGGGCAGTAGCATGGCCGAGGGCATGATCATACAGGGAGATGTCTTCCTTGGCAGTGAGCTGTAGGAAGAGGTGGAGATCCTCAAGCCAGGTGTCAAATTTCACTGGGCGACCCTCAGCATCGAAGGCTAGGACAGGAGCGCTAGCCATGATAGCAGGAGGAGGAACAGTCGAAAATGGAAGGATAACAGGAACAGCAGCAGTTGGGACAGCTGCGGCAGTTGCTGCAGTTGAGTCGGCGACGGCAGCTGCTGCAGGAGGTGCGGCTGTTGCCGCTGCTGGAGATGTGGAGGCGGTCGTTGCTGGGTTGGCGGCGGCCACTGCTGCAGAGGCAGCGGCGGCTGATGCTGATGTAGCTACGGCGGCCGCTGCAGGAGATAGCGGCGGCTGCTGCTGCAGAAGATGTGGCAGCTGCTGCTGCAGTAGATGCTGCGGCGGCTGCTGGTGAAGATGCGGCAGTTTCCGCTGTAGGATGTGGCGGCGGCTGCTGCTACAGTAGATGCGGCAGTTGTCGCTGCAGGAGGTGGCGGCGGCTGCTGCTGCAGAAGGTGCGGCAGCTGCTGCTGCAGTAGATGCTGCGGCGGCTGCTGCTGAAGATGCGGCAGCTGCTGCTGCAGTAGATGCTGCGGCGGCTGCTGCTGAAGATGCGGCAGCTGCTGCTGCAGTAGATGCTGCGGCGGCTGCTGCTGAAGATGCGGCAGCTGCTGCTGCAGTAGATGCTGCGGCGGCTGCTGCTGAAGATGCGGCAGCTGCTGCTGCAGTAGATGCTGCGGCGGCTGCTGCTGAAGATGCGGCAGCTGCTACTGCAGTAGATGCTGCGGCGGCTGCTGCTGAAGATGCGGCAGCTGCTGCTGCAGTAGATGCTGCGGCGGCTGCTGGAGAAGATGCGGCAGCTGCTGCTGCAGTAGATGCTGCGGCGGCTGCTGCTGAAGATGCGGCAGCTGCTGCTGCAGTAGATGCTGCGGCGGCTGCTGCTGAAGATGCGGCAGCTGCTGCTGCAGTAGATGCTGCGGCGGCTGCTGCTGAAGATGCGGCAGCTGCTGCTGCAGTAGATGCTGCGGCGGCTGCTGATGAAGATGCGGCAGCTGCTGCTGCAGTAGATGCTGCGGCGGCTGCTGATGAAGATGCGGCAGCTGCTGCTGCAGGAGATGCTGCGGCGGCTGCTGCTGAAGATGCGGAAGGAGCCGCTGGAGAAGATGCAGCAGCTGCTGCTGTTGTAGATGCAGCGGCGGCTGCTGCTGAAGATGCGGCAGTTGCCGCTGAAGAGGGTGCAGTAGTTGCTGCTGCTGGAAATGCAGCGGCAGTTGCTGCAGAAGAAGCGGCAGTTGCTGCTGCTGAAAATGCAGCGGCGGCTGCTGCAGACAATGCGGCCGTGGATGCTGCAGGAAATGACGCGGCGGCCGCTGCAGAAGGTGTGGCTGCGGCTGCTGCTGGAGATGTAGCGGCGGCTGCTGCAGATGGCGCGGCGGCTGCTGCTGCTGCAGCTGCAGTGGCGACCAGGCCGCAAACCGGCGGCAACAAGGCCGCGAATCGGCGGCGACGAGGCCGCGGCCGGGCGGCAGCGACGCCGCAAAAGGCGCGACAGAGTCACGACACGGCCGTGGAAAAAAAAAAAAAAGGGAGGGGGGGAGGCCGTGAGAGAGTCGCGCGGGGCCAACAAAGGGGCCGGGAAAAACGAAGAAAGAAACGGCCGCAACTGGCCGTCGAGGAGAAAGCGCCCGTGGCGCGACTAGGGGAAACGCAAAGCGCGCTCCGGGCAGAAAAAAATTCTTAAACGTGGTGGGCCCTTCCTAGGAACCTTCCTGCTCTATACCATGTCAAGGTGAGAGAGGAATGATGTCGACTAGTTTGGGGCATGGGGTACAAAAGTGACGAGAGAAAAGTTGTACCCCCTAAGAAACACCCCTACAAAACCTAAACCTAAATTATATAGATCATATAATTTGACACAAAACACCCCGGTGGTGTACCACCAGCCATCGCCCTCCTTAACTGTCCGGGAGACAAGTCAGCTCGTTACAATGGCTCCAACCTGGGGCTCCATAACACCCAGGTGGTGTACCACCAGCCATCGCCGTCTCCAACAGTCAATCTAGCTTTATGGTTGTCATCTCTAACTGTCAATCTAGCTCTCTAGCTGTCAATCCATCGTCTTACAAAACCCTCAGGTGGTACACCACCACCCATCGCCCTCTCTATCTATCCGGGAGAATTCTCACCTGAGAGGAGTGCTGGCTGTAGACCGAGAGGAAGCAGCGCAGGAGCGCCGAGGAGGGGCGGAAGGCGAAGGAGGCAACAATGGCGGCGGGGGTGACAGACTGGTTGAACACGTTGAGACAGAACTGGCAGGCGTTGCAGGCGGGCGTGAGGGTGGTCATGGCCGCCATGAACTCCAGAAACGCATCCACCTCCCGGGGGGATCTCAGCATGGGCTTTAACTTGCCTGGGGAATACACCCCCAGGGCCAGCGCCGCCCAGCTCATATCCCTTTTCCCTCCCTTTACTCCCCTGCTAGTGCTGCTGCTGCTGCTGCTGACACCGCTGCTGCTAGTCTCTGCCCCCACCAGGTGGAGTCGTAGCACCGAGTCGGTGATTGCTCGGGCCAGTGGCCCGCCACGCCCCTCCTTCGCCTGCCGCTTCGGCGAGAACCTTCTCAGAAACTCCTCGACGCGGTCCGCGAGGGTCGGAAACGCGGGAGTGTGTGTGCTGCTGTCAATCAGAGCCCTAGCAGCTCGATACTCCTGCACGCCCTCTGCTGCGCTCGTGGTGGCTGCGCTTCTCACTGCCCCATGTTCCTGCAGACCCTGTGCAGCCACCACATTGAATTCCTTCAGCATCTCCTCCCAGTCAAACACAGATCCCGGAAACTGCCTGTCCGGAAGGTATTAACCCCCAAAAACTCCCCATTCACAGACCCTGGAGTTCCCTTTTCTACCCCTCCTACCCCTTCCGTGCCTCCCAGGGCAAGGCCACAGCCATGCGCCTTCAGAGCATCTCTGTCCCCCACTGGGAACTCCTCCCACCCCCAAACTCCTCCTCCACAACCCGCCAAACCTTCTGCCGCGCCCACCGGCTTGGGGATGGCGCCGAACCTGACCAGCAGGCTCGGGAGATCGTGCGCCGGGTGCGGGAGCGCCAGGGCTGGGGCTTCCGGGTTGGTTCGGGTGCAGTAGCTGGGGGGGTTGAGCCTGGGGCCTTGAACGCGCATCCACTGAAGGATACAGGCAGCTCGGTACGTGAAGAGTGCCACTGCTGGGTCACTGATGACTGGCACGAGGCGGGCAGCTCTGCTTGCTGCACCGGTGGCAGCAACAGGGGGAGCAGCAGCAGATGGAGCAGGACGGGGAGAAGGGGAAGAAACTGCTGCTGCTGCTATCCCTCCTCCTCCTGCTGTTGCTGTTGCTAGCTTCTCTGATTTGAGATCATCCGCTTTGTTCTCACTGCTAACTCCTTCTCCCCCCTCCACCACACTCCCCTTTCCAGACTCCTCTGCTCTCTCTGCGAGCCTCTCTGCCAGCTGCTGCCTGGCTGCCTCCACAGCAGCGTCCTCCACACGATCTTTGTACCTGTTACTGCACGCCCCGGTAAACGCCATAACGCCGTAGATGGCAAAGCGCGGCATACAGAGTGCGAACGCAGCTCGGAGAGCAAAGTCAGTCGGGTCAACACCAGTTATGACCATGCCACTCGCAGTACCACCACCATTACCAGCAGCACTATCCCCACTCCCCCCTGCGCCCTCGTGTTCTCGTCCGCACTGCCTGCAGCTGCACCTGTACTGTTCAGCTTCCAGCCCTCCATGGGAGATAATCTCCCCCATCCGCTCCACATACTCATCCCACTCCACCCCTCTCAACCCCTCCCTCCACTCTTCTCCTTTCACTGAACCAGTCCCTCCTCCTCCACCTCCCCCTCCTCCACTCCCCGCCCCCCCTCTCATACCTCCATGCGCCCGTCTCCCCCCCGGCAGAAGCGGCAGCACATGAGCAGCAAAGCCCGACTCCAGTTCCTTCTTCCCTTTCACCCCAAGCACCTGCACCAGGATCGATCCAAAGCAATCCTCCTCCGCATTTCCACTCGCCTGCTTCCCTCCCCCCTTACCCACCTGCCTACTCGTCTGCCTCTCGGCCTGCCTTCCCCCCACCCCCTTGATCTGCCTCCCCGCGTTCAGCAGATTCGCCAGGGCGGGGAGGACATTGTAGCAGGACCTCATGTGCAGGCGCCAGAGTGTGACTGCACGGGGAAGCCTCGCTATAAGCACGAGGAATACGACCATGGCGAGGCAGCGGCGGTAGGCGGCCCAACACGCGCTGCACTGCCAGCAGCACCACCAGAAGAAGGGCTTGGGACCACCACCACCGGCTGTAGCACCAGTGGCTGTGGAAGCACGAGAGGTGGTCGCTCGAGCGGCTGTAGCAGCAGCGGTTGTAGCACCACCACTTGAATCAGCCAGATCGCAAATCCTCATCACGTCTGCTTGTGCCAGCTGGCATCTGACCACATCCAAGTCCCACAGCAGCCCAACACGTGGCTCTGCCATCCACTCGAGAAGCATCCCCTCGGCTGCAGGCATGGGCGCGAAATCCGCCTTCCACTTGAACTACGCGGCAGGAGGCCCTGAGGGAACGTCAAACCTGGAAAGGCCTCCACCGCTGCCACCACCCCCACGAGCAGCGGCAGAGGCAATCGCAGTGCGGCTGCTTCCCCCACGCCCCACTCCCGGACCAGTCATACTCCAGGCGCTCGGCGCTCTAACCGTGGCGGAATACGCTAGGATAGCCTGGGACGGCCGGTTGTTGCTGGCTGGGCAGAGGTTGATTTTCTCACTCACAGGCTGCTGTAGGTGCAGGCGGAGGGCTTTGAGGGTGGAGGTCTGGTAGGTGGTGGGGGGGGGCGGGGTGGAGGATGCGCGAGAGGCAGCAGGCGCAGAGGGAGTGGTTCCAGGGGAGGTTGACATCCACGTGGTGCACCATGTGATAGGTACACCACTTGACCGACAGCCATAAACCGAACAGCATGCTTCTCTTCTTCCGTAGGATTTCTTTGGTCGGCCTTATCGACGTCATCCTGCTGCTGACGTGTCTGCTGATGTAACAATTACGGCCCTTATAACAACGGGCAACCGTGTGTTAAATATAAATCACCCTTGACAACATTTATAAAACCAAGATACAAGGCTTTCAAGATTAACTAATCCCACCAAGGGGTAATTTAGCCTTGATAGTACTCCTCACGCTTGAGAGGAGAAAGGGAGCTTGAAGAAGGTTGATGAAGCTTTAATAAGTAGGTAGGAGCTTCTTGTAGAGCTTGTCCTTGAAAAATCACAAGTCTAGTTGTGTAGGGGAGCTTATTAGGAGAACCCAAAAGACTTGGAGTGAAAATCCCATTTCCAAGTTAGATTGTTGGAGTTGGGAAGTGGGAATGAGTTTGAGAGCTCCAACCCCTTCCATCATACCCCTTGGGGCTTTTCCCAACCATGGCTTCCATGGTTGGGGAGCTAATAGGCTTGGAGCCTAGGTGGCAATTTAGTTTGGTTGGGAAAAACCCAACTTAGCATAATTGTATGGCTGTTTTAAGTTTGTGTGGATTGTAACAACAACTGGCACAACTTGATTGGTTGGAAATCCAACCTTTCCAATCTTCACTTTGATGGGTTGGAAGTTTCCAAGCCTCAAGGTTGAGGGTTGGGAAAACCAAACCAATGTTCTTCTCCAACTCAACCTTCCCGATTGCCTTCACGTCATTTCTCATCTAGGAAGTCTCTCGATGTAGATGAGGCAGAGTAGGTTATGCGTTACAGCTGACTCGGCAAACAGCAGTGCGGCAGGCGGGAATGAAACAGCTTGCTGAACGCCGATTGGAGCGGCTCCTGCGGATCAACAGATATGGAGTAATCCACGTGAGACGCCGGTGCTGGCTGTCAAAGTTATTTTATGTAACTGCTTGTGGTTTAGGTGTAGTGTATTTATCTTGTCTTCTGTTTGGTGGTGCACCTCTAGTTTCTTGACTATATGTTGTATCTCTTTGCTATTATTGAACCCTCATTCTCCCCTTTCAACTTGCTCGATACTCAACTCACTCGATCTAACTAGCTATGGCTCCTAAGCCTTGCTAGAACATTCACATGTTATCAGAGTGACCAAGGCCCTGACCTGTGGGCCCACCCTACAGCTTCCGCTGCTAATCTGTGTTTGGCACGCCCCGTGACGTGCCCCTTGCCCTACGGCCCCGTCGCCTACCTGCGACCCTACGGCCCCGTCGCCTACCTGCGGCCCTACGGCCCCGTCGCCTACCTGCGGCCCTACGGCCCCGTCGCCTACCTGCGACCCTACGGCCCCGTCGCCTACCTGCGGCCCTACGGCCCCGTCGCCTACCTGCGACCCTACGGCCCCGTCGCCTACCTGCGGCCCTACGGCCCCGTCACCTACTTGCGGCCCCGGCCCCGTCGCCTTCCTGCGGCCCCGGCCCTGTCTCCTACCTGCGGCCCTAAGGCCTCGTCGCCTACTTGCGGCCCCGGTCCCGTCGCCTACCTGCGGCCCTACGGCTCCGTCGCCTACCTGTGGCCCCAACCCCGTCGCCTTCCTGCCTACCTACGGCCCCGTCGCCACCTGCGGCCCGGCCCACCCTTGCGGCCCCGTCGCCCACTTCGGCCCCGATGCCACCTATGGCCCCGCCCACTTGCGGCCCCGACCCCGCCCCGGCCATGCCCCGTCGCCAGCCGCGGCACACCGGGGGCACGTGCACCGCCCCCCCCCCCCCCCCCCCCCCTTTTTCCCGTCACCTGTCGAGGCGACTTGGAAGGGGGGGGGCAAGTGTCGCCCCCTCTGCCGCCTGCTTTGGCGCCCGGGGAGGCCGTGCGTCGCCCCCCCCCCCCCCCCTCCTCCTCCTTTTGTTCCCACTGCTGCAGCTGCCGCTGGGGGGGAGGGTGTGAGGGTGTGGGGGAGCCGGGGGAGTGGCCCTGGGGTGGCGGGTGTGAGACCAACCAGCACCCGTCCCTCCACCTCTCCTCTCTTCCCCCCCTCTGCTGCTCCTGCAGCAGTGTGTGGGGGAGGGGGAGGGGGAGGGGGAGGGTGAGGGGATGGAGGGGGTGACCAACCAGAGCCTACCACCTCCTCTCCTCTCTCTCCCTCTCTCTCTCCTCCTCCTTGCCTGCCCTCTCCCGTTCTGCTGCGCACTCTGACTGGTGTACCCCTTCAGGGGGCGATAACTACACTTCTTCCCACAAGCAATTATGGGGGCGTGTCAAAGTTATTTTATGTAACTGCTTGTGGTTTAGGTGTAGTGTATTTATCTTGTTTTCTATTTGGTGGTGCACCTCTAGTTTCTTGACTATATGTTGTATCTCTTTGCTATTATTGAACCCTCATTCTCCCCTTTCAACTTGCTCAATACTCAACTCACTAGATCTAACTCGCTATGGCTCCTAAGCCTTGCTAGAACATTCACATGTCAGTAGATCTGCACTGTGGATGCCCGATCGATCCTGGAGAGGGTTACAGGCGCGTTTGCCTGGGGGGTTATGGGCGCACTAACCCGCTACTGAAACAAGCCCTTTTATCCCAATGGTCTAGTGGTTGGGATTCTGACATGGTATCAGAGCGGTCTCGGGTTCGATTCCCGGTGTATGCACATGTAGGCCGTTGCCGTTGTGCTTAGTCCTGGGCCTCCCAGTGTGGGGGGGTGTCAGTAAATCTGCACTGTGGATGCCCGATCGATCCTGGAGAGGGTTACAGGCGCGTTTGCCTGGGGGGTTATGGGCGCACTGACCCGCTACTGAAACAAGCCCTTTTATCCCAATGGTCTAGTGGTTGGGATTTTGACACTGGCTGCGCGACCGTAGCCGTTATTTGCTCGTTGACAGAATCAGGAGGACTGCTGCTGTTATTGTTGGTACTACCGCTACTGTTACTGGTGGTGGTAACGCTGCTGCTACTGGTTCCGCTGGCCAGCGAAGTGGCGTCGCCATTGCTACCTTTCGTGATTTTCAACAGAGTAGCCGGCACCCTGAATCGAATTGTGAACTCCATGGTGCAAGGAGATGCTCACGCACCAGGCAAAGCTAGTGCTGGTAGAAAGACATTGATCCGCCCTCCTCCGTTCACGATTTTTTTAGTTGACAACTCCGAATCTGATCGTGAACTACTTGATGGTAGGCACTGCTCATACCACCGGGACGAGCTAGCGCGGGTAACAAGACACCACGCCGCGTTTCACCTTTTACATAAGCGTTTTACGCCCGGACATACAACAATCTGTAGGAAATGTGGAAAGGTGGGGTGCTGGTGTCGAAAAGTAAGTAGTTACCAAGAATTTTCAGAAGCTATGCTCAGAAGCGAGACTCAGAGAAGCGATTTCCTTCCTTCCTATCAGTCGTGTTGTTTCAACGTGACATCGAATGTCACCTTCTGGACAAGCGTCACGGCGGGCCCACAGCGCAACGTGGAAAACGCACTTTCTTGCTGTCTAATGAGGAAATGCAGCGCCTTGCAACTAAAAATCGAGGCAAAGAACCAGGATTCAGAAATTGTACTGCTCAAAATCCTCTGGGAGAAAATATGGTGTGAAATGACGACACCAAATAACAAACTGCTGTCGCATTGAGGTTCTGAATCTGATGAGAGCAGAATGAAGATCTTGTTACGAATAGTAATATTCGATATTACTAAGCACTCCTCACCGTAGCAAGGTACGCACAATATTGGGAACGAACGCAAGCGCTAGACGGTTGGAATTGAGTCAAAGAGTCAGACGGCTACAGCACATCTGAACCGTCGGAAGCAAACGGCATCAGACAACTACAGGCAGGATGGTTTTGGCGGGAACAGTTACGAAACTGTACGCGCCGAACGGTTGGGATGCATTTGAATAAGGGAATGTACCCCTTAGAGTACATGGCTAGTTATGTCGTTTCGAATTCCCTTGCACTCATATTTATATCACTGTATTTGCATGTTTTTATTATCTCAAGCATCTTACATTCACTCTGCTATTGAGATCAAGGACCCACCAACACTACCCACTGCGTGCGAACCTACCAGAGTAGATCCTGGGTTACGATCAACTTCTGATCGCAGCATGGTATGAGAGCGACTCTGGAATCCTTTGCACCGTCACTACCGAAAATTACGACATCTGAAAAGTGGCGACCGGCACACGATCACGCACGAGGATGGCCGGAGGATCTGGTGGTCAGACTAATCTGACGGCTGAAGCACAACCCAACCCGGCTGGGCCAAGCGGGAACACGACGACAATCGACTCCGAAGTTCTCGCACAACTTCTTCAGCGACTCACCAGCTTGGAGCAAGGACTCCAGACATTGCGGAATGGCGATGCGGGAACTTCCTCGCAACCCTCTCAACCGGCCCCGACTGGCCAAAACACCGCCCCGCAAACATTCTCCCTCGATACCAATGGCTCAACTCCCAAGACTCCCCGTCCCAGTGAAGAGGCAATTCTCTCCGCTCAATCAAGGTTTCTCAGCATATCAAAAATAAAGACTAGTACATGTTTTGACGGCAGAGACTTCTATACCTGGAG